CTCTCTTCCCAGGAAGGCCACGTTTATAGAATTAAAACATGAAAATGTCCTGTTGGGAGCGGCCACTGAAACCACTACAATGCCTGCAATATTTTGGGTGGCAGAGGGCATGCCTCTTGTGTCAGTGACACCAGCAAGGAGGCTCTGCGTGCATTTCACACCTCGCAGGGCTGGCCGAGTGCGCGCAAAAGTGTGCCTTCCCTCCATCGCGGCCCTTTGGCGCCCCCTAGTGGAATTGATGGTCACACAGCCCTGATTTTCAGGGGCAACAAATTCACAGGGGTTTCAAATGATGAGCTATGTGAGAGGTTAGATAGAAATTCAACAAGGACGAAAGGAACTTAGAGTGTCTCTATTACAACCCAGTACAACTTACTGTCCACCCTCGAAAGAAGCGATGCTTGTTGGAGTAAAAGAGGACCGACCACCTGGGTGTGCATCCGGATTCTTCTCTGCACTGCCCTCCCCTTAGCAGGAACAAAACCAATAGAGGGAGGCCACCTGGGGGAAGGCGGTGAAGTAAGGATAGTCATGTTATCTCCTTGCCACAAAATCCCAAGAAAGGAAGAGACATTTGAAAGCTTCTTAGTTTTCAAAAGTAGGTACGTTTTGAAAAAACGTAGGTGAATTCCCGAACCATATTTCTGGGCAGGCTTTCAGCATTACGTTCCCATGACAGCATCGGCCTACTGGGTGAAGGAAGGTATGTGTGGAGAGGCCCGTTTCCCAGATGCCTGTGTGCGCACTGACCCAGCAGCCCCTCCGGGTCCTTTCGCCGTCCAGCGGCCCCCCACCTCCACCAGAGTTTCCCCCTTTCCTGGCACAAGGTCTTGCACATAAGAAGCCTCCATCCAGGCAGTACTGAGTGGAACTGCCACGCAGAGGTTGTCTTTTGTTTCTTTTCAGTGGTGGCTCATGTACTAATGTTTGTTGCTTTTCCATTTGCAAAGCGCTTAGCCACGTCAGTGGTCCCCTCTTTCTGGATGGCAGGGGACTCTTTCCAGGGTGGGATGTGTCATTTCTGGGCCCTGCAAAGACTGTGAAAGCAACTCACTTGCTTCTCCCTCCTGCAGAGCTGTTTTCCCACAGGGATTTCCTGCAAGGGCCTGGGGAGGATAGGGCTGAGATAGGGGAAGTTGCACAATGATAAACCCTTCCAGTACATCTGCACTTAAGCAGGTTTTGTTAAGAGCTGACTTGGGGTCTTAACTGTCTTTTAAGCACTTCTAAGTGCATCCATAAATTCAAACATTAATCAAATTGATTTGTGTGGCTGTTGGGCATCGAGCCAAGCTCTGGGCACACACTGGTGAAGGACACAGAAATGGTGTCTGTCCTCGAAGGACTTACCAACAGAGAGACTGAGAAGAAACAAATATTGTGACTAATCAATGGTAGGAAGGGCTATCAAAGAAACACACAGAGGGGAGTATAACAGGTGAAGTGGGTGTCCCGTGGGGCTGGGCGAGTCTGAGTGGAGACTGAGGAGGAGAGTGGGCCTGGCCCAAGGTGGTGGGGAGTGAGGGCTGGGGGGCAGGCAGTTTGGAGAACGGAACACAGTGGGTGTGATTCACATCGCACGCGCCAGATGCCTCTGTGAGCTCTATTCACCTTTCCCACTACCATAGCTATTTCAGGAGGAGGAATGTGGCAGGTCTAGTGCTAGACGTGTAGACGAATTGGGTTGCTAGCATTTGGAGTGACAGTGAGCAAGCTGCTTAGCCTAAGCCTCGCTCCGTTAAATGAGAATGACATGAATAGTACCAACATCATGAATATTTACGATTAAATTCAATAATGCATGTAAAGCACTTAATGCTTGTCACATAGTCACGTTGCAGTCAAATAGTAATGACCCCCTCGCCAGAGGACAAGCACCTGATCTTATTCAACTCTTTTTTAAAAAGATTTTATTTATTTATTTTTAGAGAGAGGAGAAGAGGGTATAAAGACTGAGGAAGAAACATCAATGGAAGAGAGAAACTTTGATTGGCTGTCCCTCATATGTGCCCTAACAGGGGACCAAACCCTGCAACCCACGTGTGTGCCCTGACTGGGAACTGAACCTGCAACCTTTTGCTTTGAGGGACTATTCCCAACCAACTGAGCCACACCAGCCAGGGTTGATCTTATTTATATTTAAATTCATGGTATGTTTCAGGACCTGGTACATAGTAAGTGATAAATAAAGGCTGTTGAATGAATGACAAAGTAACACTCTCCTATGTTTTAAAGCTGACCTTTTTAAAGTAAAGGGCCACTTTACCAGTAACTTATTTGGAGAAAAGCATTTTAGGATAGTGGAATGTGTCATTTCTACCAGGAAGTCCCAAGTAAGAGTGGAGTGTCAGTGAAAAAAAGGAGTCAACTCAATTGCTTTTGGCATTTAAGACCTGCCAGAGCTGGACCACTTGGTTCAACCAGTCTTGGGATGCATGTGCACAGGGAGTGGCTTGCCCAAGGCCAAAGCCCAGTCCAGAGCTCTTTACCCCCTTACTATGGCGCCCTTGCCTTCTTCCTTTGCATTCCAGGGCCATCCAGTGGGGCCAGGACTATTTCCTTTAAGGTGCTGAGCAACTCAGGAGAGCCAATGGGAGAAACTGTACAAATGCAGGACCCAACTATGGGCCGTGGAGAGCGTGTGTAAACCCTCCCTTATGCATCTGCCCCATTGGTTATCACGGCTCTTGCACTGGAATGGTGACCCAGGTAAAAAAGTCTCCTTCGTTTGTGATTAGAGGCCTAATGGATGCAATTCAGTTTTTCTGTAGTTGAGCTTTGAGGTTTCACCCAGGTCACAGGCCTTTCTTCTATTTCACTGGTCTAAGGCATAAAAATCCTGTTTCGAAGTAACTTTACTTGTGTTGTATAAGAGATAATAAATTCTTTGGTTTAGTGAACTTGGGTATACAATGTCTCAGTTAAGTTAGGTGTACAGTTTTACTTACTTTTAAGTCTCCAATGAGTGATGAAATATAGATACCAATTGGGCAAGCTTAAGGCTTCTTCAATTGCTTTTTTCTTTTTCTTTGAAATAACAAAGGCTGCTGTTCACAGCTCCAGTGTGGTCAGTTCCGCTGATGGCATTTATCTCTTTGGCAGTCTAAACAGGGACTCTGGGAGAAGAGTGTATGGTTATCACCGCTCTGTCCTGGCAGGAAACTTCTATGCACTGTGTTAGACGTTACCAGCCAAGGAACATTATGCAAATAACATGCAAAAGAAAATAACATAGATGTGCAGGTGGGAATAATGCAAGTAAATTCTTTACTAGTTATAAGCACACACTCCCTCTTCTTCCCTCTCTTCCCTTGTACAACCAGGATTCGTTTCTCATTTCAAAAGATTTCATTTAGAGAAAAAAAAATCGATCAAATTTTCCTAAGGAAAAAAAAAAATTACAGGCAAGGGGATGGGAGGAGTGGGGAAACCCAGATGTGCAAACTCTGAAACTCACAGCTGTGCTTTCACATCTTGATATAACTGTGTTTCCAAGAATGGAAGTTTCTGTTATTCACGTGTAAATCTTGCATCATGCAAAACTCAATGAACTCAGTCTTTATTTTCAAAGTTAGACTCTGTTTAGGATCATTGAATCTCGTATCAAATACTTATAAGGACGTAGGAGAAATTCTTTTTAATTCTGGCAGGATAATTAGTGGTCTTTCGGGAGGTAGAAAGAAAAAGAAAACCAGATTGAGCAACGCCTAAAAATATTTATATGACTTTCTAACCACATGCTACTCAACTTACATGAGAAAAAAAATATGTGGGATTTAATACACAATTCAGTATAAACACTAGGTCATGATTAAAAGAAGTTATTCCAGACAAAAAATACTTGGCCACTGGGAGTTTTGCTCAAACTGTAATACTAACAAAAAATTACAAGGTTGGTAGACTTTTCAGGATCCAGCCATGGGGTTATTTAACCTGACGGCTTCCAAAGTGGAGGCAGAAATGATGCGAGAAGAAATGCCTACAAAAGGCCCACACAGCTATGATTCTTTGGAACTGGGAGATGCTGAAGCTCATTTTACTTTTACTTGACTATTCCAGTATTTGGTAAATACCTAGAAAGGAAAAAAATTGTCCTTGCTTCTTTCAATTTTTAAGTACAGAAATTACGTCTAATTTTTTACTCGCCTATGTCCATGTATTTTGCTGTAACATAGTATGAGCAGTTTGAAGGCTAGTATAACCAATCAAAATTAAAGTGTCATAAAGAGTTAAAGGAGGGAGGCTGATTCTTATCAAGCCACACCCAATGAAGACGGAGGACTGAGTCAATCACAGGCCAGGAGGGGCAGGGGTGAAGGGGCGTCACACCCAACTGCAGGTGGAAGGGTCAAACTGCTGCTAGGGCTCTGGCATCTGGCTTCCCCGCAGCTTTTTCAGCCAAGTTCAGTCGAGGACAGCTGGAGTGGCCGGTTGTGGCAAAACCTGGGATCTAATTTCTCACTGGCCACAATCTGCATCATCAGACTTCTTTCTCCAACAATCTGATGCTTTTAGGCTGGAACACTGTAGTTCAATTTCCTTTTTAAATTGGCTAGTAGGAAGTTTGGACCAGATTCGTATTAAGTTCACTCTTGCTTTAGTATTTTTTCTCATTTTTCCTTTACTTAGATCGCACGACTTTTTCCACATAAGTTTTATCCTTGTATTGTATGTGGCTCTGTTAAGTCCTCTTAAAACTTTCTGGGACAAGGTAATGCATAAACACACGTTAGATGTATTTTACCAGCACCAGGATTAAAGTGGCTCATGCTTACTATGTATCATTGGCTGACTCAAGTCCAGGATCTGAGATTTGGAAAAAGTGGTAACATTTTTTAGCAAATTCGTATTTTCCCTGCTGTAAGACTCAACTTGAATTTCGGGAGTTAAGAACAAAGACAAGATAGAGTAAAATTACCCCAAATAAATGTTTCCAGAGGCTTCTGAATTTCCAAAAGCTTTCATTAAAAATTGAATTATTCATGTTTAAAACAGTCTGGAAAAAGGTACTTGGTCATGGTACATTATAGCATACAAGATAACCAGAGGTGGAATCTTTATTTCACAAGTTTCAAGATACAGTACAAAACAAATCTGTACATCTCTCTATTAACAGGATTTGTTTACACAATTATATTACACTTCACCAGCCTTTATACTGTATTTAATTAAATACAAAATAAATTTACAAAAAAAAGTCTACCATGGTGTTCCTTCCAATGCCAGCTTACAGTCTTTTAAAACTTCAAAATATTGATAGTGGTTATACCTTGATCGTATCAACACTGATTTCTTTTTTAAATCAAAGAGAAGAGTGTTAGCTTGCTTGTCATTCCAAATAGGAAAAACAGCGCACATGAGATGACTCCTTGCGTATAACCAAGACAGCCTTCTCACGCACGCAACATCCAGATTTTTCACTTGTGCAAATTGTCACATTAAAATATAAATCTTTTCTACTTGCAACATTTTAAATTTTCTTGAAATACCAAGTGGAAGGAGAAATTTAGCTTCAACGACTACTACACATTAAAAATCAGGTAGTGTCTCAAGACAATATGGTATTCAGAAATTTTGTAATTTCATTTATATTTGAGAGCACAGACTGATAAAAAATATCTTCATGAAAATAGAAGTTTCTTTTACTTTATTTCTTGCACATCTCTAGTCATAATATTATGCAACATATATTAAATTCACTTTCAAAACAAATACTAGATGTCATTGGGCCAAATGTAGCCCATGTTGCTCTTCTTGGCAGCTAAAGGGTTTGTTTTATCGGAAGCATTTTATTTTGAAATGTGCATGTGAAATGTTAGTCCAAACCTCTGTAAAGGAAGTGTTCTGCAGATGTAGCCAGACAATAATATAAGTGCTACACACACAAAGAAGAGTTGTGGTCTTCCTTTATAGGCTTGCATGCATTTGTCCAAAGTACTGGTTTGAAGAACAAACATGAGGGGCAAAGGACGGAAAAAGCAAAAAGAAAAAAAAAGAAAAAAGAAAAAAAAATCTTTACTTTCTTGGAGGCAAGAGCAGCTCTTTAATTAAATAAAGCATCCAATCATCACCAGATCACAAGTAAAAGTTTCGAAAACTTCCCAACGATACAGAGATAAAGCTCTTTTACATCAACCTCATGTGCACAAGGGTAACACATCGTCAAGAGTATTACGATTAATACAAGTTTATCTCATTTAAGTGTTAAATAATGAACTTCAAAAAAGGAGTTTTGTATTACTTCCTCTGTGCCTTTGACTATTAACCAAAAATAAGATAAGCCTCATTCAGAAAACAGAATCAACATCAAACACAAAGAGGCAAAAAACAAACATCACTGCTACCTTTGCAACATCAAATGGAAGCAAAAAGACTCTGAAACAGCTGACTAAACAACAACCAAATGCATGAGTATCACCTAAGTAGAGAGCTACTACTGTTGTCACCTATGAGGGCAGGCAGGCAGACTAGCGGACGGACAGGGGAGACCGGCTACCATGGAGAGATGCTGCTGCACGCTATCTGCTACCTCTAAAAGCTAACATTAAAACTCCTGAATCCTGGAGTTAGTTTAATGTCACTGACATTAACTAGCTTTAGTTACTGTCATTTTACTCAAATGGATGCCATTTGATTAGGTTAAGTATTGAACATTATTTTAGGAGAAACATCAAACCCAGTCCTTATTTATTTAGGTATCATGAAAAGAGAGTTTTTTTTTTTTTGATCCTCACCTGAGGATATGCTTATTGAATTTTTAGAGAGAAAGAGAGTAGGCCGGGAAGGAAGGACAGAAAGGGAAGGGGGGGTAGAGAGAGGGAGAGAGAGCACACTGATTTGAGAGGAACAAGAAACATCGATTGGTTGTCTCCTGAACATGCCCCAACCGGGGAATGAAGCTGCCTAGGTATGTGCCCTGACCGGGAGATTGAACCCACCACCTTTTGGTGTGTGGGACAATGCTCCAACCAAATGAGCCATCCAACCAGGGTGGCAGCAGAGTATTTTGAGACAATCATAGGATTGGTGTCATGAAGCCATAAAACTAAGCTATCTTAAATATACCGTTCAAATTTCCAGTAGCAAAGACCCAGGGTAAAACAGGAAGTGGAAAAAAGCCAGGAAACGGACATTTGGAATATGAATAATAAAAAGGACGGGGCAAGTGGTTAACCGATAGGAAGTGTGTTATTGCATGAAGAACACGACCACCCTCTCCCATCCAGGTTTTGGTAGTAGTGCACACTGTTATATGACATGTTTTTTCAAAGTATTGACGGAAGGAAGTAAAGAGAGAGAAAAATTCTGCTAAAGGAGAAATTAGGTGGACGGTAGAGGGGAAACAATGAAAGTTTAGTCATCTTGGAAATCTTTAACTTTCAATCAATGAAAACAGTTCCTCCAGAATGCAGCATGACTGCTACCAAGGGCCATGCTGACTCTGAAAGGGGGGGGGGAAGAGGCGGTGAGGACACCCACAGAGCCATCAGCTACACTCCGAGCTCTCTTGTGAGAGAGCAAACGAGCCGTAGTATTTACAAGAGCTGCCCCAAACGGCATTATAGTTATTGAGGGTAATATTTCCTACCTTTCAGATGTGCTTTTAAACATAGGGCTCTCTCTATGACCACCTCTTCAAATTTGGAAGCAATTATCTGGGAGGAAAGTTTGCTTACCAGGTTTCTCATAATACTCTAAACAACAAAAGCAGACAACTTCACATTTAAAGCCTTCATGTTCATTACAGACTAATTAAATCTAGTTCTTAATATAACCCCAACTTCAAGAACCAGAGTCTTACAACTCTATAGGTAATAAACTCTTCAAGTTCTCTGGCAGACCAGGGCTTATGGAAAGAGAGTAAGGTTAATTTAAACAGACTGCAGTCAACAGGCCAAGACAGCCCTGCTCACACAAATGTAGTCTCAGACTAACTACAGGCTGGTGAATACCACCATAAGACAATGAAAAGAAATATAAGTTCCTATTTAATTCTGTCATTTGTATAATATGTGATGTTCTCGAGCTTTTTTTCATTGTTGTTTTTCATACAGTTTACTCAGACAACTCTCAAAATGTTCGCAGTGGGAGGGTGGTGAATAGGACAGCTAAACAAATGGCTGCCTTTCTACTGTAACATAAAACTGCAGGAAAAAAAAAAATCTACCTGAACAGTATAAACAGGCTTTGGCTTTCCTCAACCACAGAGCTCCATACATCTTAGATTCTCTGTCTCAGTTTTAGTATTATAATGGTAGGCACTGTATGTCATATCTTGGCCATGGTATTTCGTACTAAAAAACTCAGGAGGGTGATCTGTTCTTTTGCAAAAAAGAAATGCAAACTAAATTCTGGTAACAAATGTTTGAACTTTTGGGAAAGTACCTCTATGATCTTGGTACCCCACGCAGGGTTCTATAATATTGTTTTCTAATTTCTCCCACATAGTCCATCCTCTGGCTTCCAGATCAAGGCTCTGCATAGTCAAAACAAACAAATTACATTAAGCAGGTGGGGCAAATGCACTTGTTAGCTCAAGGAGTCAGTTCACAATGTTTTATATGTGTTCCATTCCAAAGAAAAGAAGTTCACATACAACTCTTTAACAAGCCTTTCTGTCTCTGAAGGAGAGAAGTATGGTATAAACCATGACAATCGCCAACACTCTCCTTCCTTTCCTTTTGAAATAACAAAAGGTGCTGAATATGTATACTTGCATATGGATTGGTAAACGTTTGTTATGGGCGTTCTGATACACTTTGAAGACTTTTTTTTTTAACTTAAGAGGCAAGTTCTATTTTCAGGCTTTTCAAACATGTTAAGGTTAAACTTGCAACTAACTGGGGTTTCCTTTTCACACAGATCAGTTTTTAGTGTCGATGCACAACGTCCTTAAAGAAGGCTGATCAGAGAACTTACAGACACTGAGAGTGACTGAAAGGACCCAAGAAAGATAGCTGGATACAGCAGACATTACTTTGAGTGTCTCACATGTTTCCAGGAAAAAAAAAAAAAAAAAAAAGGAGAGCCACTGAGAGTTGTTATTCCAAACGGCATTGAAACATTCAACTCAGTTTAGGTAAGAGTTACTTATCCCTGAAAATAAAGGCATCAGATTCTAAGCAGCTTTAGGAATTCAATGCTTCCTCGTGCCTCTTCCAGGAGGTGGCCATTGATCCAAAGTCCCAAATCAAATGCCAACAAGGCTGGACATGGCGGCTGTTACTGTGGCGGCTGTTGCTCTGGCGGCCCTTCCTGCTGCGGTGGCGCTGGCCGTGGCCCTGGCGGCCTAGGCCCAGGCCCGTCTTGGTGCTGCCTCTGCCGGTAAGCTATGACTGTTCCCAACAGCAGCGCGATGATAGTCATGAGGTAAAGGTCCCACTCCGGCCCCAGAAGCTGGTCCATATCAAGTTGGGTGAATATATCCCGAATCTTAATGGGAATAACATAAAAATCATTATGATCACTAAAATGTCAGAGAAGGAATCAGGCAAATTGCATCACAAATTAGAGAGTAATACAGAACTTATTAAAATAACTGGCTTTAGGAACATTTTGTAATTTTTTTTAAAAAAGGTTTTAAAAGCCTTCAACTGAAACTCAAAAAATAATGCATCTCAGAAACTGAGCTATTATTTCCTAACAGTTGACGATATTAAGTGCCGGATAGGGTTTCTTTCCATCAGTAATCTAGTGCACTAGTTCCCCTTTCTCACAGAAAATATTTGAGAGGAATACTGGGAACAATGGAGGGTCAAGGGGAAAAACAGAAAAATCAGTATCCTGGCGCGTCTGCAACCCATCCGTGGTGGTGGCGCATGGGCTGAAAAGCTCTGTTCCAATGACAGTGAGGCTATTTTATTACTTCCACTTCTCTCAGGTAACTGAAGATGGCAGAATTCACATGTTTAGTAGCTCAATGAATGCTTTTTAAAAATTTAAGATTTAACTAAGTATTTAACACCTAAATTTGAACTTAAAATTATGTTCTTAGTCTATGGTATTTTAATTGTTCTAGTGTCACTTAAGAGAAGTCATTCCCATTATTTTCTGACTGCCACTTACAAAGAAAGTAAACACAGAGTATAATCCTTTGTATTTTACTAAATTACATTTAAAAAGTTCACACAATAAGTCCTGGCCAGTGTGGCTCAGTTGGTTGGGCACCGTCCTGCAAACCAAGAGGTCGTGGGTTCAATTCCCGCTCAGGACACATGCCCAGGTTGCGGGTTCAATCTCTGGCCAGGTGCACACGAAAGGCAACCAACTGATGTTTCTCTCTCTCTCTCTCTCTGTCTCTTTCTCCCTCTGTTCCCCTCTAAGATCAACAAGCATGTCCTTGACTGAGGATAAAAAAAATTATAAAATAAAATGTTCCCATAATATTTATTTGTAGGTACAGGCACATTTTTCTGTAAAGAAATTACAAGAAACCTATTAACTGTGTTTCCTGGGGAGGGAGTGGTGATGGGAGATTCTGTTTCTCTGACCAACTTTCTCGCCATCAATATGTAGTATGCTGTGTGATCAAATCCTAGACTGTAATCACCAGCTTATTAGTCTTAAAAATTGTGAGCCACAAAGGTCTGGAACAGCGCCGATAGAGAAACAGCACGCTGCCACACCGTCAGCTTTTTAATGGAAGAAACGAAGATCCTTTCAGTCAGCAGAGGGTTAGAGCACACCCTGGCTCATGCTATCAAGCAATGACAAATTTGCCGTTACAAATGCATACACAATCGGAAGGACAGAGCCCGATGTCTCCCGTCCTCTCGAGCCCTGGAGGCCCTCAGCAGCATGGGCTAGGGCTGCAAGAGGGGGAGGTCTAATTTCTCTCCGTAGACGCTGGAGCACCATGGACTCCATGTATATCTGTGCAACACAGCAGGGAATCCCTTCTGGAATCCAATGGCAAGATGGTATATCCATCTGTTCTGAAAGATGTTAACTAAAGGTTGCAACATCACCCTCTTCTAGTCTGGAATGAGTTACAGTTAAATAGCCCTTGTTCCTGCATATATTTTAAGACTTTCAGAGTCAAATACTGTACTAGTTAATCCACTATGAGGAACTACAGGTATTGGAAACAAAATGTAAAACTGGAGACTCAAGTATTGTTATGTGAAGTTGGTAGTTTTAAAGAGAATGGCTAACCCATCTCCTATCTAGGTTCTGCCTTTAGCTTATTTAAGTGGTTCAAGGTATTTTTAGAGAACAAAACCTGGTGTTGGTTTTAGCAGGTTTCACTATTGGAAGAATCTAGAGTACAACAGCCTAGGCAGGTTAACAGGTTTTACTTCTTCCTTTTCTTTTTAATTCTCTTTTTCAGGGAGTTCTGAGTCACTGCTAGGCAGTCAGTCATCTGATTTAAAGTTTACTGATTTTAGTTAATTACCATTTCAAATTGCCATGGGTTAGTCTGTTTTCCCCAAACCAGAAAACATCCGCATCAATGCAGAACGCTTTAGCACTGGGAACCACTTGCCCAATGCCACGAAGACTGTAACTGCACCTGGCTACTACGCTCACCCCTCCCCTGATGAGGTCTGTAGGCACTTTACCCTGGGGAAGCAGGGAAGCGACCAGACACCTGCAGAATACTCTTCCCCTCTCCCCCAACATTTAAAATATAAGCCTCCAGACTAAGGTTACATCACTTGCATTTTACTTGAAAGAGGCAAGGACCACTTACATTTGTTTCCCGTATGTACTGCAAGAAATAGACGACACCCAGTTTGCAGAGCGCTAGGAAGACTGGGACCTGAGCATCTGGGCTGGCTTCGGCTGCCATGTCATAAAAACGTTTTGCAAGATGAATATCCTATAAGATAGGTTACAAACCAGACTTTATTTCTTGTTAACATAAAAATAATTATATTTTAATATATTAGGAAAATTTATTCTATCTTTCAAGTTTCATTTTTAAATTCCCCTAACTTAAAGGAAAAAATCCCGTTTTTTTTTAAAAAAGATTTTATTTATTTATTTTTTTTAGAGAGAGGGCAAGGGAGGGAGAAAGAGAGGGAGAGAAACATCAATGTGTGGCTGCCTTTTGCGCACCCCATACTGGGGACCTGGCCTGCGACCCAAGGCATGTGCCCTGACTGGGAACTGAACTGGCAACCCTTTGGTTTGCAGGCTGGTGCTCAATCCACTAAGCCATACCAGCCAGGGCCCCAAGTTTTAATTGGGTAGTATTTCTTTAATTATATAACTGCTTAACTTGCAAAAACTTACTTGAGAAACTTTAATACAACTCACGTTCCCCCAACCTGACACCCACTTGTGCAGAGATGCTGCCTACCTTTTAAGACTTTCAGAGTTAAGTGCTGCACAGTCTTAGTCTACACATTATACTGCTAACCTGGACGTTTCCAGGGGTGGCCTGTGAGTCACATGTTAATGTTTTTCCTACTTAAATCTTTTGTCAATTCCTGGTTTCAGTTTGGAATAGTGGTCTTTAAAATGGAGTAGAAATATTCCACCTTAATAGACAAGATTTTCCAAGGGCCACTGGCATGGACACTGTTAAGGGACTCGCATCCTGTGCCTCCCTGTCTCAGACATATTTCTGTGAAGGGTGAAACAAGTCATCGTTAATTTTAGCCAGGTTGGGGTATTCAGCTATATGTAGAATGGGATGGTGGGAGCTATGAAATTTTCATTTACCAGCCCTACTTCTTCCATGCCCTGACTGTTGCCAAAGAATATCAAACTCCTACGAAAGAATTCCGTGAGACATGGGAAAGGCAGGCTAAACATTAAAAATGACTTTTTTCACACATTTTAATATAAGAAGTTCCCTATAAATGGGTACCTAGGGTATGTCATTAGCTGAAAAGAAGAGCACCTTCAAACAACAGTAACAGTATGGTTAGTGTCTTTGATTTAAAAAAATATATATATCATTTTTTTTTGGACTGCCATAATTTTCAAGTTCACAGATCATCCTATGTGATAACATAGGCTCTCATGGGTATGAGTAAGCGGGTAAATCATAGCTATCAATTATATCCTGAATTATTTATTCCAATTATAACTAATCCTCATCTTATTACTTAATATTTTTCTATTTACTGATTAGTTTTTAGTAGTTTTGTTTTTAGTAGTATCAATGTCTCTTTCATTAAAAAAATAAAAAAGTAGGGAAAGGCCAACATGATGTCTTATAAAAACTAATGGACTTACTGTCATTTTAATATATAATAATTTAATTATTACTAAAAGTTGAACCCTAGAGTTTCCTCTCCTCGCTGCGGCCTTTTATCACATTCTTTATTCATAAGAATTTACGTAAGCTATACATTACATTATATTAAATTATGAGATGAGAAAAGCATATTGATTATAGTTTCTTTTTTAATATATATATATTTTTATTGTTTATGCTATTATAGCTGTCCCAGTCTTTCCCCCTTTGCTCCCCTCCTCCCACCTCCTCCCCCAGACAACCCCACACTGCTGTTCAAGTCCATGGGCCATATGTATCTGTTCTCTGTCTAATCCCTTCACCTTCTTACAACCAGTGCCAACCTCTCCGCTCCCCTCTTACAGCTGTCAGTCTGTTCCTTGTTTCTGTGCCTCTGATTTTATTTTGCTTGTTAGTTTATTTTTTCCCTTTCTTGTTTTATAACCTATTATAAAAATAGACTGTTAGTTATAGAACTTGAATCTTAATTGCGTTTAATACATTATACCTAAGTGTATCCTGTAAAAGTCACAATATATGTGTGATTTTTGTATTAGTCATCATACACCTATTAATTTTATTTAAATTAGGAAGTAAGGCCAGGCTTTCTGATGGAAACTGTGGGCGGGCTGACCGATGTGGCAACGAGGTGAGGCCTCGGTCACTCAGTTACCTGGCGGAGAGCTCCCATAAACTGAGTGCACTCGGCCGGCAGCACCAGTCCTCACAAATGATACTTGAGTATCTAATATCAATATAAATGTAAAATATCAAAATGTACATATTATATTACAATGAAAATAAAATTAGTATTCAAATGTGTTAAAAAAGCACTTTGACCAAAAATGCTTAAGGGAACAAATGTCCCTTAAGCACATTTGGTCAACAAAGTGCCCCTAAGTGACAGAGTAAGGGGTACAACTGGTTATTTGACAAGCCTCGGTGTCGTCCTCTAGGTAGTCCTCCCAGACACTGGGCAGCGGAAGGACTCCAGTGATGAGAGAACACATCCCTTTGCAAGTCTCTAGATTCCAATTCTTTGCTTTCAACAAAACTGGAGAGGGATCTAAGTTATCAGGTGACAGATCATTAAAAATAATTTTAATGACAGGTCACTGATTTTTGACATATATTATGGGCTAAAAGTTTGTGTATATTTTGAAACCCTCCCCTCCAATGTGATGGCATTAGAAGGTGAGGTGTTTGAGAGATAATCAGGAGATGAAGTCTACAGGGTGGAGCTTTTATGAATGGAATTAGGGTCCTTATAAGAGTGGCCAAAAAGCTAGCTGTTTCTTGCTCTTTCCTCAGGTGAGGACAGAAGTGAGAAGACAGCTGTCCATGATCTGGAAACTGGGCCCTTGGCAGACACCAAGTCTGCCAGCATGTTGATCTTCAACTTCCCAGCCTCCAGAACGATGAGAAAAAGTTTCTATTGTTTAAGCCACCAAGCCTATGGCATTCTGTTACAGCAAGCAGCGCAAACTGACTAAAACAGTATATAACTCTAGAGCAGTTTAAAGAATTAAGCCATCTTAAAGACTATAATAAAATTCTTCCCATTCCCATACACTTATTTATGTGAACAGGTTCCAGTCAAATATTTATACAAAGGGAAAGTAGAATTAATGTTAAATTGACTCATGATACTTGAACTAATTTTTTAAAAGTGCTATATTCATCTCATTAAAAAATATTTGCAATTACCACAAAAAGTAGAATTTTACCAAAATTTATATCATCACTGTTAATTTAATCATCAGTATGTTTATAATTGACCAATTATGACTAATAATATCTCAAAAATTTTCCATAGCACTTAGAGCCCAGTATCACAGGACATAAAGTTCAAAATATGAATTTATATACTTTATTTAAGATAAATACAACAGAGTGAACAGTAAAAGATCTAAGCTTCAGAAACATTACATTAGTATATAATTCTATGGGAATAGTGGACTGAAAATATAAATTCAGGGAGAAAAGGAAAAGATGCAATATGCAATTCAAGAATTTGCTGCACATTTTTAAATGTGTTCCTTTTTTTTTTTAAGAGAGAGAGGAGGGGAGTACAGGAGGAGGGAGGGAGGGAGCTGAGAGAGAGACAGACAGACAGACAGAGAGACATCAACTGGGATCAAACCTTCAAACCTGCAATCTTGGCCTATCAGGATGATGTTCTAACCAACTCAGTTACCTGGTCAGGGCTGCTGTATTTTTTTAAAAAAATTAATAATGGATGTATCAAATTATTTAATTTAATAATTTTATTTAAAAAGTTATTTAAATTAGCTAGAACTTAAACTCTTTGAAATTTATGATGAAAAACTTTAAATGTCAACTTAAAAATGCACAAGATGATACAGTTTTCAAAGTTCTTTAAAGGCACACAGACAAAAACTTAATACCATGGGTCTAGAGATTGTTAGATTTCATGAGGTTTAAGACTAAGAAATAAGGGGTGGGGGCATGGGGTACTGAAGGGATTGAGAAGTACAGATTGGTAGTTACAAAATAGTCACAGGGTTGTAAAACACAGTGTAGGAAATACAGTCCATAATACTGTTAAAAACTTGACATGGTGCCAGGTGGATACTGGAAATATCAGGGGGACAGTATACGGTTATCTAACCACTATGTTGGAAACCCGAGACTAATACAAAATAATAATGAATGTAAACTGTAACTGATACACATTTTTGAAAAAGCAGAAACATGTTTATTAATAATCTTAATAATTCATTCAAAATAATTTAGAAACAACAGAATTTGTATGATCATGGATGGTCTTTTAAAAAAGAAGTTATCAATAGAGGCCACAGTGCATTTCTGTTTTCACGAATCTGTTTTTGGCTTAATATCCTCAATCATATAGAATTATGGCTATCAATATGTGTATGAGCTAGAAGATGAGAAACAAAGGTAGTCTTTTAAAATATTATAAAACTGTCTTATAACTTAATATCTGAAATTTGAGCACATTCCAAAGAAAAGCCTATTTTCTATAAAAATGCAGAGCTTTCCCCCAAATCACAATTTACATTATTCAAACACTTGTTTGGAAGCCACGCTCACCTGTTTAATGCCCAGTCCTTTCTCGTGCATGTATCCCAGGTTAAACATAGCTTGTGCACTGTGCTGTTGCTCAGACGCTAGACGATAATGGATAAACGCAGTTTCGTAATCTACGTCGGTGCCAAACCCATAGAAATGGTAGTCTCCAAGCTTAATCCTAGCCACGGTATAACCTTAAACAAAAGTTAAATACAGAACTGCAATAACTAATGTGTTTAAAACGGAGCACACTGTTTTTTTTTCTCTTTCTGTTACATGCTTACATAAAATAGAATTTTAATTTATAGTACACAAACTTAACAACAAACCCTTCGGCCAAGCTATAAATTCAGTAAAAATTTAAACTAGAAGTACTGCTCCTCTGCGGAAGGCTTTGTAATAGTCAGGGAGAGGTAAAACAAGGTGGGCAGTACTCCTTATGCCTGCAATAACACTTGTTAAATAATCACCTCTATTCTATGATGTCACATTTTAAAATAGTTCAACGGGATCATTCTTTACTCTTGAAGAAGGGATAGGAAAACAATGTGGAATATAGTATGTGTGAGAATAAAAATATTCAAACAAAAAGCTGTTGAAAAAGGTTACAATCTTTTGGGTTTTAGAGTAATATTCTGTTCTACATTCTATTCAATTCTCATTTACACAATATACGGGGCTCAAACCAAAAACCAAAGAGTACACCATAGCAATGACATAAAAGTCCCATACAAATACCTTGCAATTCAGGTTAGAAACCCTGGGACTAAAACCTCCATTTTAAAAATAAACATCAATCCCGATGCAAACAGGTTAAGCAACAGTTAGCATCTCTGCCTACTTTTAAGGTGATGAATGACAGGATTTAATCTTTATGGGAGATTAAAAAAACAAACAAACAAACAAACCCCCAAAATTAACAGAGGTTCCTGGGTGAAACTCTCTTATCCTTTAATGTGAACCAACTACTCACCTTGAGAAGCGGCCCTGTTCCAGTGTAGCAAAGCTCTGGGGTATGTTTCATTCTCGCCTACAATGGTTGCTTCCCCTATGAGGAAAAATGTAATACAAATCAGGCATTTAAGGAAAGGCACTAGGCTTTTAGGCTTCATTTGCAAACTAGGGTGAATATGGGGAGCATAATTTAATTAAGAATTGGGATATAACAAATATTAAATAGAAAAAATACTGTAGTAAAATTAAACAGGTATTAAAATACCACACTGAATTAAAAGGAATCACTGCATTTAAGGACATTATGTCCTGAAACATGTGCTACCCACAGAGCCAATGAGGAGACTGACCACTGCGCCACTTCCACGGGTCTACACACTGCTGGAAAAACCATGTTCTGTATCTGTTGTATTCTGAAACATATTTGCTAAAAGCAGTCATTTATGATGAATGTCAGATATATTTCTACTGTCAACTCCATAAGATAGGATGGCTTAGAGATCTGAAGTAGAATAATTTAAGCATGGGTTTTTAACAATGAAGAAGGTTCTTTGTGCTTTTCTCTCGAACCTGAGGTGGACCCGTGTGTTCTGAACCCCAGGTAGGACCGCAATGAACCTTACTCTGGTCGAGAATGAAGGCCGCGTTGCTCTGTGCCACTTCGTAGCCTTGCTCAGCCAGCAGGAGGTACTGGATCACTGCGGCGTTGTAGTCACCGTCTTTATAGCTGTTGTAGGCAGTCATAAGCCTCTCGGACCAACGGCCCCGCTCACAGACATTCTTAAACAACTGTGTGAACAGAAAAGAAAAAAATAAAAGAGTAAGAACGATATGCCAGAAAATCAGTTTTTCACAAGGGCCACAAGTGAGTGTTCAGCATGCTCTCTGAATGTCTGGAATTTTATTAAATACATATAAAAGTCTGGGATATATATACTTGAAAATTTCACTTAGTCTTTAGAATAGGTTTATACAAATAATAGCAAACAATTATTTATAATTTATGCTGGCCAGACACTGTTTTAGTAATTTATATATGGTACGAATATTAACTCACTTGACCCTCCCATGAAGTCCATGGGGGAGCACTCCGTAAGGTGAATCCTATTAACAGCCCCACTGTACAAGTCAGGAAGCTGTGGTATAGAGAGGTTTGGAAACTCTGCTCAGCATTTATCAGTGTTACTCTAAAGTGCCAGTTATGAAAGAGCCAAAGATGGGTCGGTTCCAATGAGAAGACATTAGCATCCCCTTTGCAACGTTCACTTGGCAGACGAGCATACGCTTTTTTAACACTATGTCTCAGATGCTGTCTTACGTGCTAGAGAGACAGCAGACAACGATATCTGCCCTTGTTCACAATGATTCCAGTAGGGAGGGACAAATGAAATAAGTAAGTGTGACAGTAACGCACAGACCCTCGCAGCCTTCCCTCAGTACAGCAGTGCTGGCAGGCTGAGTCTGTTTCTACTCTAGAAGAAATCGCACAAAGTAAACCAGAATTAAAATGGTAGACTTTCCTACTGAGCAAATTAACTTCCTGTACAGAGGCTGGTAGGAAGGCCCTTACCTCCACAGCATTGTGACACGATCGCATCACACCGGTGCCACTGGCATGCATCTGGGCTAGGTTGTAGAAAGCCAAGATATGGCCTCCCTGAGAAGCTAAATTAAAATACTTCAAGGCCTGTTTGTAATCCCTCTTGACTCCAATGCCATCTGCAAGGAAAAATCCCATGAAAGGTCAGGAATAATCTCAAATAAGATTTAGCTGAAGCATCAGAGAAGTAAAACAAAATAAAATTCATAATTCTTATTCAGGAAAAATGTGAATCCTACTAATACAGATTTGTACATTAATACATATTAATATAATCCACAATAAGAAACAAGATGCACAGATCATTGAATTGGGAGAACATTAATCAACCAGTATTCACTAGCTCTCATTTCCATGTGATAGTGGCACCTAGTGGAAATAAGTAATTTAGATTATCTCAGTGTATTCATCATTAATTCCACCATTACTTACTATAGTACATAGAGCCAAGCTGTAGTTGTCCATCAACCCATCCTTGTTCAGCAGCTTTCTGAAAATACTTCAGTGCCAGATCATAATTCTGTGAAGAAAAGATCATCTCATCACATTATCACAAGATGAGAAAGCTCAAAAGGCTGACAAAATTGAAAGTTAGGAGATTCATTCATTAAAAAGAATTAACAAAGCACACAACATGTTCTCAAAGAGCCATTAAAAAATACTTTCCAGTTTTTATAATACGTAGGTCATAGGAGGACTAATATTTAAGATTTTGAAGAAAAGCAAATCAAGTTTTGGTAAAACAATCTGCGTGTTTGCTCTAGGAAGAGTAAACTCCACCAGTGGAACACAAAGACAGGATTTAAGAAACAGTCTTCTATTAACCAACCAATCCCTTTTAAACCTCAATTTTTTCAACATTAAATAAGGAAAATTATTCTCTCCTTATTCATTCTTTCTCTGTGCTCTTTGTGAACACTATATGATTATTAAATTTTAAGTATCATATGTATCCACAGAGGAAAAATGAAACAAAGATCAATACTGAATTTTGGTATGCTAAAATGACTTGAAGGAATCAAAATGAGTCCACAGTACTGTCTCTTGTGCTAGGCAATGCCCACAGATTAGAATCCCAAACCTGGCTTTGAGTTTCACACTCAAGTAAGAAGCACATATTGCTTAGAGAAACCGTACAGAGAGGATAGCGAGGGGAACCCAGGCATCCCATATGAGGAAGTAGCACCTAAGAATGCGAATGAAGGCCCAGGAAAACCAACAGAGCTTGCTGTCACAGAACTTCAGGGAAGAAACAGTTTAAGAGACATAGAACCAAAAAGTGTCAACTGGAGTTGCCATTTAGGAAGCTTCAGTGACCTGGATAGAGCAGTGACATGAGGCAGAAGCCTGACTATTTTAAGCTAAAGAATGAATGGTAGCAGCTCGTACAGTTTGTTTTTTGGAGAAACTTGGCTGTGCAGTGAAGGGCTACAGAGAAGGGAGGTGGTGGCGAGGAGGGCAAAGGGTGGTCCAGAAAGCTTTCCTCCTCCTCAGTGGGAGACCAGAGCATTTTCTTGGGCTGGCGTGAAGAAGTACAATGCAGGTGTTTCAATCTTGGAAGGAAGGAAGAGTAGGCAGCGTAGACAGCATCAGTGGGAGAATGCGAGACAACAGAAAAGGTTTACGTTTGCTTATAATGAAACGGCCTATCTAGGTTGACTGGACGCTGGTTCAGGAATGCTCCCCTACCTCACCAGCTGACCACTTGTTAAAGTGAGAAGGTTAGATGGGAAACTTACAACTTGGACTCCTCTTCCGTAGAGGTAAGCCATTCCAAGCCCGCTCTGTCCAACTGGGTTGCCCTGCAAACCAGAGACAAAAGGCGGAAAGGATTTACCACAGAATAAGCAAGACCAAATGTCTGCAAGAGAAATACTTTACAAGCATATTCAAAACATGTGCTTAGCACTTCCCAATTCAGAGCAAAATTCTGTCCTTCCTATCAGGCTAAACATAGTACTGCCATTTAGATATTTGGGGGCTTTCGATAATTTGCTAAAAAAGAGTAAATATTAAAATTTACTTACAATTAAATTTTAGGAACTTACCTTCTGACCATGTGTTCCATGAATTTATAAAATAAAACCTAACTAATGTATTTCAGCTTTTAAAGACTAAAAGTAGGTCATGTTTTGGGAGCAGTTTTTTATTAGTAGCTGCCCTCCCCAATAAAGCAGCAGCCACGGGGTAAAGTCAGCAACCAAGTAATACTGAGATTAGGTGGCAGAGACATTCTTTACATTACTGGCATGTTGTAAATCAAAGAGAATCATTGTTTTGAGACTTAAAAGAGAAAAACCTAGAATTCACCTAAACTCAAAGGGACAGAAGGCATCTTCAAAAGAGTGTCACTGCCCACTTTGGGAAATACTCTACTGCCATTTAGAACTACAGTAACATGTAGTTGGCAGGGAGACAAGTGTATGCACGGGAGGCTTTCTCTCCGCACCAGAGAAACCCTTAATTATGTACTGTGATTATCAAAAGTACACAATCACCTAAGCTTTAAACCTCAAGTTGCAACACAGAAAGGTAAATTATGTAACTCTCAATTACACTACTAAAATCAGTATTTCCCTGATCAGGAAAATTTCCCAAAGAAATATTGAGAGAGATTTAAAATACAATAATCTGATCCCTAAAAAAAAAAAAAGAGAGAGAAAAGAATTGCTTTTTATTGGGAAGATTTTTTTTCCTAGTTAATTCATTCACATGAATTTTATTTACATAAATGCTTTAAATAATTTATGGTAGGACTTGGTTATAATGAATCACTTAATTTAACACTTACTGTTATTAAGGTAATAGTAACACGGCGCACACCTCAACGCACCGAGTCCCGAGGCCTTACCATGTCAGCAGCTTTCTTGAAGTAGTGGAGAGCGGTCTCATTGCTCTGAGGTACGATGTCACTCCCCTCGGAATACATCTGCAACAGACCACGGTTACACTCTTCTCGTACGTCACCTCACTGTTTTTCGTTAGATCTCATGAGATCTTTTGACAAAATTAAAAGTTCCCCACAGAATATTTTAGAAGAAAAGCAAAACCTTAAAAGCAGACATTTTTATATTATTATACTTTGTATGTCATATCAAAATTCTGACTTACCTATAAGCATAAATACATAAAATCAGTTTATAGATCAGTCTCAGGAGAAGAAATCTTTAACCTCAAGATGAATCTTTTTTTCCTCTATCCCAGGGCAGTTAAATGGGTTAACAGATTGCTTGGGATCAATGATTAAATGAGGAAAGGAGAGCTGTCAACAATGTATTTTCCTTCTTCCTCTACCACTACTTTCCCCAGGCTAAAATAAAAGGTAGCCAAAGTTCAGGAAAATAAATAACTAAATGGTTACTTTAAAATGTTTCAAATACCAAATGGTTAGTGTATCAGGTATAGAATATGATAAAGGACAAAAAGAGAGAACAGAATGACTAATACTGTTTTTATCCACCTACATATTAATGACAAAGGACATCATTTTTGAGGTAGGACTAATTAGTAATATAGCAAAAATTGCAAGGGCTCAATTGAAAAGTTCTTAAATGCTTAACAAAAATAGAGTGGAATACCACTTAATGTCTAAATGCAAAGTTCTCAAGCCCCAGTTAACTAATTGTGATCATACTGCAAATACTGATTGGATTTTTCTATTTGGAAAAACTTTTGAGATGCATTTTATCTGAGCCTCCTAACTTTAGGATTTGGTTATAGATAAAAATACCGATTGGCCTTCCAGTGAAGATGGCGGTGTAGGTAAACATGGCTTGTCTCCTTGCACAACCACATCAAAATTACAACTAAACTATAGAACAAGCATTATTCAGAAGTGCCAGAAATCAACCTGAATCAAAGTCCTACAATAACAGAGACAAAGAGGAAACCACATGGACACTGGTAGAAGGGGTGGAGATATGGAACGGGTTGGTCCCACACCCACATGTGGTGGATAAAAATGTGGTAGGATATCTCAGGAGTGAGAGGTCACAGCTCCATACCAGGCCCTCCAGCCCAGGGTTCCAGAGCCAGGAAGGCCCCATAATTTCTAGCTGTTAAAACTAGTGGGAATTAGCGCTGTGGAAGACAGAAACTTCTGGAATCCCAGGTAGTTCCTCTTTAAGGGCCTGCGCATGGACTTACTTGGACTCACTCCCTCTGAACTCCAGCTTGAGCTCAGTGCTGAGGCAGCAGCTTGAAAGGTACCAGAGGCACAAGGGGAGGAACTGAAGTGTCTTGCAACAGGGCAAGAGCTGGGGGGCAGCTTTCTTCCAGACTAAAGTGCTGGCAGAGGCCACTGTTCCTTTTCTGAGCCCTCCCCCACAAAGCTGGCAGGCAGGCGGCATATCTGAGACTCCATCAACCTGGCTCATACTGCTTGCCCCACACGGGTGATTCTGAGGCTCTGCCCTGCCCAATGTTCAAGCCCGCCCAAGCTGTTTCCAGTGGCTTTTCCATATGACTGGCTTGTACTGGCTCATGCTTCAGATTTTCCTAAGTCCTCTCAAGCAGCATCTGGCCTCAGCAGACCCTCTCACTAAGTGGCCCCAGGCCTGGCACTAGGAACTGCTGCCTTTGGTTCACAGCCTTGCCTCACTTGGGCACCTTCAAGCACAGCACAAGAAGCAGCCATCTAGGATCACTTTGTAGGTTATGCTGGGTGGCTCTGGACACAACACAGGAGGTGGCCGACCTGGACTATACCTCCTGGGAGGCCCCAGCGCCTGTGCACCCAGTGGACAGCTACAGACCATGTCGGAGCACCACCACCCAACCACCTCCACAAAAGACACACTCAAGGGGCAGACTCAGAGAGCACTGGAGTCCTAGTGAAGTAAGTCCTGCTCTGTGGAGTGGGTGCCTGCACAGCTGATCCTCCATGGTGGCCAGAGGCTAGTGGTCAGTTGTCACAGCCAGTCCTTTCAGCTGATCTGCCTGGGTAAATCCCTCCCATTGACCTGCCAACAGCAATCAAGGCTCATTACAAGAGAAGAGTGTACACAGCCCACATGGTGTGTGTACCTCAAGTACCCAGCTTTGGTAATAAGAGGCTGTGCCTTGGGACCCTGCAGGATGGCTACTACCTTAGGCCACTCTCTCAAGACACAGAGTCAAAGCAGCTCTACCTAATACATAGAAACAAACCCAGGGAGACTGCTAAAATGAGGAGACAAAGAAACATGGCCCAAATGAAAGAACAGAACAAAACTCCAGAAAAAGAATTAAACAAAATGGAGACAAGCAACCTACTAGATGCAGAGTTCAAAACACTGGTTATAAAGATGCTCAATGAACTAGGGAAGAGAAGATGAACTCAGAGAGAACTTCAACAGTATAATAAAGGACATGAAAACCATTAAAAAGAACCAGTCTGAAATGAAGAATACGCTAACTGAAATGTGGAACAATTTACATGGAATGAACAGTAGAGCACATGAAGGTGAGAATCAAATCAGTGATTTGGAATAGGAAGGAACAAAAAACACCCAATCAGAATAGCAAGAAAAAAAAAAAAAGAAACCAAAAAAATGAGGATAGTGTAAGGAGCCTCTGGGACAACTTCAAGTTTACCAACATTTATATCATGGGGATACCAGAAGGAGAAGAGAGCAAGCAAGAATTTGAAAACCTATTTGAAAAAGTAATGACAGAACACTTCCCTACCTTGGTGAAGGAAACAGACATACAAGTCCAGGAAGTGCACAGAGTCCCAAACAAGATAAACCCAAAGAAGCCCACACCAAGACACATCATAACTCAAATACCATACGTTAAATACAAAGAGAGTATCTTAAAAGCAGCAAGAGAAAAAAAGTTAGTTACCTACAGGGGAGCTCCCACAACACTGTCAGCTGATTTCTCAAAAGAAACTTTGCAGGCTAAAAGGGACTGGCAAGAAATACTTAAAGTGATGAAAAGCAAGGGCCTACAACCAAGATTACTCTACTCAGCAAACCTATCATTTAGAATTGAAGGATATATAAAACTTTCCCAGACAAGAAAAAGCTAAAGAAGTTCATTACCAGCACACCAGTATTATATGAAATGTTAGTCTTTTTTAAGAAGAAAAAAAATGAACAATAAAATGGCAATAAATACATATCAATAACTGAATCTAAAAAAACAAAATAAATGAACAAGCAAAGTAGAAACAAAATCATAGATACAGAGAATGTTTTGATGGTTGCCCAATGAGAGGAGGTTTTGGGGGACGGGCAAAAAAGGCGAAGTACAAATTGGTTGCTACATAATAGTCATGGGGCTGTAAGGTACAGCACAGGGAATATAGTATCCAAAGAATATACATGTATGATCCATGGATGTGAACAACGATGTGGGGATTGGCTAAGGGAGCGGTGGGGTCTGGGTGGTAGGGAAGCAAAGGGAAAACTGGAACAAGTGTAAGAGCATAACCAATAAAATATAATTAAAATTAAAATGAACAAAAAATAAAAAGAAAAAATACTAATTTGTTTACACTATAATAGCCTTCAAAATAATGAAAAAAGAAGTTATGAGATTGTGCCATGACATGAATCTATTCGTTAAGTCTCCAGACCAATATTCTCTTGAGAAACGGACTACACCAACAACGGGTGATGGCTACCACATTTAAGATAATGAAAAGGTCTGCACACAAATTCCAACTAAATCTAATTGCCTCTATTCAGCACAGAAATTAACAAACAGGCAATTATGACAGACTAGCAAAAAAACTGCATAGCATAAATTCATTATTACCGACGATACATGAAAAGGAGGAGATGGTGGTAGCTAGTGGCGATGGAGAATTAACGTACTGAAGAGCAACTGCGATGTTACATTTAAGTCACCAAGGGAAATGCCTCAGCATGGCAGTGCCTTAAGACAAGACACAATAAGCTTCCACTGGAAATTTTATTTCCAGGTTACTTTTGGTAAATTGTGGATCTTGAATACAATATGTACTTAACTCTGCAAACACCTCTTGTTATTACATAGTACATTCACAGGGGTACAGTACCTTTCCTAAGAAGGCCATAGCATGTGAATTGCCAGCATTCGCTGCTAAATTGAAGTAGTCAAATGCTCTCTGTGAGGAAAGAATTTATTAAAATAATTAGTTTTTAATAGAACCCATCCTTGGCTTTTAACCAAAATAATTATTTCAGGAACATTTAAAAAGTCTTGTTCTATTGCAGTATCTCAGTTCAAGTAAATGGCAACAGGACATCTCTTGGTTGCTCCCAGGTACCCCTCCACCCCCTTTTCCCTCTCATATCCAATTATCACAAAGTCCTGTTACCACTGAATACATCCTGAATCCATCTACTACCCTTCACCACCACAATTCTAGTCTAAGCTACACTATCTCTCACCTGAACTTCTAAAACACTCTCCTGCCGTCTCTGATCTCCCTACTTTTTATCCTTGTGGTTGCCCAAAGCAACTGTCCCTAGATGTCAACATGCTGGTCTTCACAGCCCCCTGAAGTGTTTTAGGGCATATACCGACATGATCAGACACTATTTATTTCAGCACAGCTTTCTCTTGCTCTCTGCACCCCAGGCATACCAATTTTGTTCTTTCCTGCCTCAGGACCTATGCACATACCGTTCTTCTTGGCCTGGAATGATTTTACCTTCAGGCTCAACTTAAATGTCATTCATCTCTCCTCAGAGACAACTGCCACCTCCCATTCATTAATTTGTTATTGGACCCTTTAATTCTCCTTTGTAACAACAATCACAATTTATTACATATATTTTGGCATGATCATTTAAAAAAATATGAAATACTTCTATTAAACTTGAGGCTCTTTAAGGACTCAAGGACCGAAGCTATTCTGTCCAGCATTATATCCTGAATGGCTAGTACTGAATTGCACATAGTAGGTACTCAAACATTTGTTGAATTAATACAGTTATGTACTGGGAAATCTTTTTCTTCCTTTTCTGAAACCTGCGAAATAATTTATCATTGTTTAATTATTTCATAGGTAGACAGCATACACCAACAACAGTACTTCAAAACTTATATAAAAAGTATGCAGGAAACTTATCCAGAATTCTAGTCTCTCACCTGACATTTTTATTAACCAGTTTACCTGATGCTTCACTGACCTAATGACATACATTTTAATGACCTAAATTTTAATGACCTAAAGACATTAAAAGCTGTCAAAATGCCATCTGAATTTTTTAAAAACACAGCTATTTGTCACAGTTTTGTTTGTAAATGTATTTTCTTATGATCTAATTCTTAAAGTTGATAGGATATGGTATATAAAATAACCTTAATTAGACTATTTAACTGGCAATGGTAGAAAAACAAAGTTTTATGAGTCTGACAAAATTCACTGAGAAGTTACTATGTGCTAGACACTGTCAAGTGCTAGGAATACAAGTGGCAAACAAGGTAGACAAGACCCACACTTTTTTGGACCTTATGTTCTAGCAGAGGAAAGAACTTAATTAACTAACTTACATAATTAACTAATTACAACGGACAAAAGCCATAAGGAACACAGATTTTCAGAAATCCTAACTTGGTCCATGACCTATTCCTGGAGTAGTGTTGGGGGCAGAGGATATATTAGGAAAAAAGATACTGCAGTTGAGTTCTGAAAGATGACTAGGACTTAGGTGAAGAAAGGGGCTGGTATATTTACCTTAGAAAGATGGGCTAGCATTCGAGAAGCCCTGAGACAGAGAGGTTCTTGATATTTTCAGAGGCCTGAGAAAAGGTCCATGTGCCTATCTCTGAGAAAGCAAGGGGCTGGTAAGGTAAGCAGAGACGGATACAAGTCTTGGAGGTCATGTGAAAGGTTTTGGTCTTTAAGCTGCCTGAATTTGTAGACCACTCAAGAGTTTTAAGCAAGGGAACCATCTGATCGGATGTATGATTTACAAAGACCAGCTACTGCTTATGAAATTCAAGCAATAGTTAATTCACATGAGTGACAGGTGTCCTGACAGAAAAAAAAGGAAAGGGAGGGTGATATTTAGGACATAAAGCAGATAAAAGTTGATGACAAGATATAAATCTGATTACTACAGCTGTATACTCCTAATTTCTCATAAACTCAACAATGAATTTTCCTCAGTTCTAGAAAATATTTTCTAACTGGGAGTTTTAAGACATACTTCAATCACATACCTACAGAAAACAAAAGACATTGTATATGTACTTTTGGCAGTACTGAGAACTAGGTTTTAGAATTAATAAAGCCTTTTCCACCCCTTTGAGGTAGAATCACATTTTTATTCTTCAGCTTCCTCAGGGGTTAGTTAGATCTTGAAAGTTCATTTGTGATGGCTGTCTTAATAACACAAGCTTGATGCTGTCATTGACTTAGCAACAGATACACCTGGAAAACTATTTCTTGCTACAACAGGAACTGCAAAGCCCTAGGAACAGGAAAGGTACCTGATGATTCTGTTCTACTCCACGCCCCCCATGCAGGTGCAGTTGTCCCAGACCGACCTGAAAACGCAAAAAAGCGAGGCAGAAGTCAATGGTAGCATCTGGACTGTGACTACATTAGGCCAGCAAGAAGCCACTTTGTCATAAGGAGGTTTCATAAATCAAAAAATGAAAGGTTTAGCCTTGAAACTCCTGGAGATATTACACTCTTACACGAAGTGGGCAGGGCAGGTGGGAGAAGGAGGGGCCTGGTATGTGGTGACAGAAGATGCTGATTTTGGGGGGTGAGCATCCAGTGCAAGGTACAGCTCTTGCATCACAGAAGTGTACCCTTAAAACCTGTATGATCCTATTAACCAATGTCACCCCAATAATTTGAAAAAGATTGAAAAAGAGTAAAAATGTATACTTTTAATACAAGGTATCTTTCTGAAATGGAGAATAAATAAAAGCATTTTTGGACAAACCAAAACTGAGTTTGTCATCAATGAACCTATTCTAAAGGAAATACCAAAGGATGTTAATTAAGAAGGAAAATTATTCTGGGAAGCTTGAAGATGCAGTAAGGTAAAGTACAATGGAAAGGCAAATCTCTAAGTCTAAATCATATGGATTGTGTAAAACAATAGTATTTTGCAGCGTTCAAAAATATGTAGAAAATATGACAATAAGAGAATGCAGCCCACCAGTTATCAAAATCTATAAAGCTACGAGCATTTAAGACAATGCTGGTACAAGACATGTACAAGAATATATGCAGGGCGTTACCTGCAATACCCCAAATTTGGGGAGAATAAAATGCACAAATAAATTGTGGGATTTCCATACAATGAAATACATACAACAATGCAAATGAATGAATTACAGTGACATGGAAACACATGAAACTGATCTCAAAAAGAAAAAGCTGTATGATTTTTTTTTTAACATAAGATTTGAAAGCAGCCAAACCATTCTGTAGTGTTAGAAGTCATCTCAGCAGATTACCTGTGGGGAGCAGGAGGAGTTAGTGGTGAGGAGTTCCACAGAGGGGCCTCTAGGGGGCTGGTTATGCCCACACAACAGGCTTACTTGGTGATAATCCACTGAGCTGTACACTTCAAATCTGTGTACTTTTCTGTGTTCATGTCTTAATTCAATATGGAAACAACTTTAAAAAATTATATACTATATCACACATGGATTTTAACTTGATTTTTTCACTTAATACAATGAAATCAGCTTTCCACATTAAATAGTATTCTACATTTTTAATGGCTGCATAAAATTCCATTAATTGGAGTGTCATATTTAAGCTAATTCCCTATCATTGGTCATTTCAATTGTTTTGCATTTTAATGGATCTCTAGTGTAAAAGAAAGGTATTTAATCAAACAATATAACCTTATTAAAATTTCCATGAGCTAAGAAGTGGATCTTTCACTGCACTGTAGTTTGTGTCTGTGTGTGTGTGTTTTATTTAATATTCCCTTCTGTTAGTTTTAAAATAAATTGTTTTTTAAAAGTATCTAATCTATATATTTCTGAATCAGAAAGAACTGTAAACTTAATGGGAAAAAGATGCTGAAGTTCTCCTTTTTTAATAATGTTATCAAAATAACCCACAAAACAAATTATATGATACTTTGATGAATATCATACATTTACATTAAACATGCCTATTTCTTTCTGTCCTTGACCTTGAAAAAATTATGATCTGGGCAAAGGAAACATAAACAGCAAGTAGTTCTGAGGAGCATTTGAAATTCCAAATGTTCTAGAGACTCTTTGTTTCGAGAACGTGACAGTGTGTGTCCTTGGTGACTCCATTGTCACTGTGATGCTGCTCCATTTAAGTAGCGACTTTCCACTGCGGTGCACTGTACCCTGCTAGCTTTTAGGAACCATGAAGGCCCAGCCCACACCCCAGATGAATCCAAATGGATTGTCCTGAGTGTAGGACTAGTATGTATGTAGTTAATAATAATGTAGCTAACAACGCTAAGAGCAATGAAAATGTTACTGATGGACCTAAGTGCTTGCCTCCAAAGACTGTAACATACAATACATTAAGAGAGTCCCCGAGATGTTTAGACACATACCTGTGCTTGTACATCACCTTTTTCGGCTAGGAACTGGTAATACTGAATCAAATCCTCTTCTAGCATTCCACTGTTCATTCCTGGATTCTCCACCTCGTCAGGGAGCCGTATTCTCTGCACCACTGAGCCTCCGGTCAGCGAGATATCACTAGCAACTGAAGCCGGGGAACAAAGTAACAATGTGGCTGCAAGTCAGAGGATTATCCCACAGAGAGCAGTACAGTTCCAGCTGCGAAATGCTGACAGACACCATGTGACAGGAATCTGTTCCTATAGTAGTCTATAGAGTACGAAACAGTAATCTAGAGTAAATTCAGGTTTTTCCGCAAAATATTTAAGAGGGGAGACCACAGCAAATTTTTTAAAAAGTACATCTTAAACAACTAGTGTAAAGATGATTCCACTTAAAAGAGACATTCATGACATTTCAAATAGTACAAAATAAAAAAAGGTGTATTTAAAATTAACTGTGTTTTAGGGGTTGTGTTTTGTTTTATAAGGTGAAAGGCAAAAAAAAGAAAATTACCATGATTGGCAACAAGACGATAATGAGTCAGCGCGGATTCGCAGCTCTGGAGGACTCCGATGCCAGCCCAGTAGCGGTAGCCCTGTAACACAGCTTCCCGTGAGGGGGCAGCAGTTTCCCACCCTTCAGTGGCAAGTAAAGCTCACCACTCAAAATGTAATTCCGATGTCTTATGATTCAAGCACACTATCACCTCATTTATCCTGAGTTTTAGGTAATGAGGTACTTTATGTAGCCACTTCAAGAATCCAACTATAGCTAAGAACTAGGAAATAAAAAATAAATTTCCCAGAGCAATCAAAATAGATGCCATGTACTTTTTGTATGTAGTGTGTGCATTTTACCTGTAAGAGAAAATTACTTAAGCTCTTGCTTAGAATTTTATTCTTATTTTAGACATAATTTTAACAAAAAAAGTGTTAATCTTCCAAATTAGCACAGAAGCAGCAACAAATGAACAAATGAGGGAAGAGACCGCTAGAAGCAAAACAGCAATAAATTACTTCAGAATAAGGGGAAAAGCAGCTAATTATAAAGAGCAAAGAACAGAAAGTAAAGGTCTCTGGAGTCATTTAGCAGACTCTAAATAACTTTACAAACATCAACAATCCTTAGGGCAACACTGTATAATAACGGATATAGTATTTAATGTTATTCTGTAGCTGCTATTGAAGAGGACTGGTAAGTAATTAGAACAATACCCTCATGTTTCCCTTGTTAAACTCCCCCAGTGGTTTACCCTTGTAAACCCGACGAAGTCCAAGCTCCCTGGCACGACGTACAGCTGTGTATGTGACTCCTGTCTACCTGCCCTGCTCATGAGCTCCTGGCCCTCCACTCTCCAGCCACACCAAGTGCTTGTATTTCCTTGCAAACACCACACTCCCTCTTGTTGCTGTCCCTTAGCACACTGTATCGCTCCCGCTGCCTGGAAACCCTCGGCTCCTTGCATTCACTTACCAGAATTTATCCCTCCATGACCAGTTTAGCTGCTTCTTTCCTCAGAAATACCTCCTGCAATCCCCTTTCCAAAGTCTGTGTGGGTGAGATGACTTTCTAGGTGATTCCTCGACATCCTCATGCTGTACTACAGTGGTCTCCTTACTTATGCCTCCCTTTCCTATTTAAAACTTGTTGTGGGCCAGGACTACATCTTACTCATCTTTGAAATCCCAATTACATGTAGTAAATAAATATTTTTGGAATACATAAGCAAAACTTGTTAGGATCCACCTAGCTGGCCAGAAAAGTAGATTTCCCTTCTTTTTTACATCTCATATATCATCAATGACTAAGCCTGGAGACACTTTTCCAGATTTTTAGACTGGTGTTTCTGCTTTCAGTCTCATTTCTGCTCAATCTATCCTTTATATTCCTGTAAAAATGAATTTACATATTCATTTGAAACACAGTAACATGGGTTAGAGGCCATATGACTTAGTCAAAGTCAGTTTATGAAGTACAGGCAGATTAAACACCCCAGCAGTAAAGAATTTAGTGGAAAGATTCTGTATTTTACTACTACGCCATTTAAGTGATCAATGTTATCAGAAAACCCATAAAAGATAGTCGGTAATGAACTTTGTAGGACCGTTGGTTCTTTATATGGTGAGTCCTTCATCAATTCCACTGTAAAATCTATGTATGACAACCAATCTAAAAAAGGACTCTGGCGAACAATTCCAACTTATAAAAAATAAAAAAGAGCCATTTATCAGATAGCTATTTTACGGGCAATCAGCCAAACTAATCACTTTCATGAAAAATTGTGAACTCTACCAATTTTCATCCACATGTAGATTTGATTATTGTATTCATTAATAAGAAGTATGTTCAACTGAATATTTGGTCTTAGTGAATATAAGTAAATGTCAATCATCAAAGTCAGAAAAGTCATGGCTATTTGTTAATCAAAATTCTTCTACTCAACATTACTATCTTTCCAGTGAAGTCTTACTTACCAAAATCATGTGGGCTATTAGGTTGCCCCCAAGAGCTCCAAAAGTGTAATATACAAGAGCCTGTGAATGAACAAAAGATGCTTAACTGAACATAAACACATATACTTACTCAGTTCAAACTGTTGTGTATAATAAAGTTTTAATAGTATTACCTTTGCCTGACTTGAATTAACACCAAGTCCAGAGGCATAGAGAAAGCCAAGAGCCTGAAATAAAATGATAAGAGTAAGAATTCTTCCTTTGGTGGACGTTTTTCCAAGACAGTTTTACAAACTAGAAAAAATGAAAGAACCTTTACATGTTATACAATTTTTAATTATTCAAGTATGTACAACCTGGAATTAGCCTGAGAAAAGCATTCAAGGTTTTACAAACTACACAATAAAATGTTAAACAAGTATTTAGCTTGAAGATTAAGGAAAATTTAATAAATTATTAACTAGAAAAACAAAGCAGAACACAAACACAGCTTTTACTTACTCTTGATGAACAGCTATTATGAGAACAGAACAATTCCAATACCATTATATCAATGCAAAGGGACGTATACAATGAAAATGGATAAGTAATTGCCTAAATACATCATCCCATGAATATAAAGAGGCAGCAAGGGGTGAAGTTGAAGTGGTCAAGGGAGAAAGGTCACTTTGCAATGCCAGAGCACTTAATTTTCTAAAAAAAATTCAACCAATCAAACAATGAATTGGTAAAGTTCTACCCCTGCCTTCCGAAGATCTCTCTTGATAACATCAAAGTATAAGCTAAAGTTATAAAGGCAGGTGCTATTCTCATCAAAATCCATGAGTCGTCCTGCATTTCCCGGCTTCTCCTGTAATTAGGTAGGGCCATGTGCCTGGGTCTCGCTGGAAGATATTGCAGGCCGTTTTTAGACCTGGCTTTCAAAAACATCCCAGGGACACCTCCAGCCCTCTTTCCTTCATGACTTAGAAGCCCCATGTTCCAGATGGTATAGTGACATGGCGCAAGCAGTCCTTGACCCTGGGTCACCATTCGGAAGAGAGGGATGCAGGCAGGAGCACTGCTTGGAACCTGGCATAAGAAGAAATAACTTGTAGTGTTAAGACACTGCGATTTGGGTGCTTTGTTTCATCAGCTAGAATTGATTACCATAGAGAGAGTTTTTCAATGAATAAAGCACCGTGGCACTGCAAGGTTCTATTACTAGAGGAAAAAAAGTATTAAGCTCTTCTTCCAGCACAATGTGTCTGAAATAAATATATATGTGAATGTTATATAAAACAGCTTATACAAAGAGAAAATTGCTTTGAAAATAAAGGGAGCAATTAAGATATAATCTGTTTATAAACTAAAACCAAGACTACTTAAGAGCTGTGGTCTGGTTAGATACTCAGTCCTACAGAAAACAATAGTTACAATTCCTGTATATGCTAAAATAGCATGAAAACAGACTTCTGTGACCAGAAATTTTATCCTTAAGCAAATCCGAGACTGTCAATAAACCTAAATTATTTATTTTTAATTTTTTAAAAGATTTTATTTCTTTTTAAAGAGAGGGGAAGGGAGGGAGAAAGAGAGGGAGAAACACTGATATGAGAGAGAAACACGGACTGGTTGCCTCTTGTACGTGCCCCGACGGGCGACTGATCCCACAACCCAGGCATGTGCCCTGACCGGGAATCAAACTGGGGACCCCTCACTTTGTGGGATAATGCCCAGCCTGCTGAGCCATATCGGTCAGGGCAGAAGGCATTTTAAACAAATGTTGCCCCTTAATCCAGGGGCCAACCTTACCATTACTAATGCGGAATCAAACAGATATTATATATCAAATGGTATGATGTAATATGGAATGCAGAACATCCCTATAATGCAGCCTAGCCAAAAATATTTTACTTGAGTTAATTAGCCTTTAGCTATGACATTTAGTTGATAGGAAATATAGATAATGAAAAAGACATCATGAAGAAGTGAATAGATAAATTGAGGTAGGAAATTCTGCAGAAAAACTGGCCCATCTCTAAAACAGAAAACAAAAAGGGGGTGGTTAAGTATGCTAGAAATAACAACCAAATATAAGATAATAGTCCTGAACTGGGTGCTAGTTTGGACAAAACAGGTATAAAGGAAACGTTTTGTTCAACACCGCCTGAATATGGTATGGGTATTATATGATGTAAAAAATTACTGGAATGAAAAGGTGAAGGTTGATGACTGAAAAGAGCATCTTATGGAAGAGTAGACAGTGACATCTTATTTTAATAAAGCATTTGTATGTATCTATACACAAAGAGGAAGGTCTAGAAGGGCTGGTACACACTAACATATCACCACTGCTCATGTCTAGTTGGTGCATATGTGATGTTCACTTTCTTAGAATTTTTAGTTTGTATTTCTAGTTTCTTATAATGGACATGTACTGCCTCTGTAATATATTTTAAAAAACCACCAAGATTACTAAGAGGTGGAGCATCTGAACTTTGGAAAGCAATGCAATGGTGAGTAATCAAGATAAAAGCCAATTACCTTCAGGTTCCATTTTCTACAGATCTAATATGGAAAACTACAAACATAACCGTGTCAAGATGCAACGGTAAAATGCCTTACGTGACCACAAATGTTCTCAAAGATCATCTAAGAAGATTGACAAAATGATCTGCCACAAATTTAATATTTAAAGATATTTTACCTGCCATTCTTATTTGTCAAAAGAAGTCAGGGCATAAAGAATAAACTGCTGTTGAAATAAACAAAGTGCCGTATGCGAAGACACTCTCCAATGAAAGTACACTCACAGTCTGTCCCTTGGGAGAGCCTTCCTCCGTCAGCTTCTCAAACATCTCTCTGGCTGCCTGGATGTTCTGTGTCAGGTAGTCACCAAACAAAAGGGCATATGACACTCTCTCCAGGGCCTTGGTATGGTTCATGCTTGCTGCCTTCTGAAGATACCGATATGCTCTTTAAATGTAAACAATTAAAAAACACATTAGCAATATTTTGGAACTTTAACATTTTAAAAGATCTACAGAAATGCAACATAATTTCCTTATTCTATAGCCATGTTACTTGTGCATACAGAAAACACTCTGGCTATTTTGTTTTTACGTAAGGTATCAGTTCTGTCATCCTAATATCTTGATTACACTAGTAATAATTCTCAAAACTTTTATTAAAAACATTAACTACATTTGCAACTAGAGAAATGTAATAATATTGTATCCAGTAAATAACCCAATGGCAATCACTGTAATTTTCTTTTTAAATCTTTGCACAGACTAGAACAAAAGTCAGCTGAAATTAAAGGAACATGAAATATTAGAAGAAACTTGTTTTCTATTTTTTCGAAGTATAATTTCATAAGTTATAGTCTTTGTCTGCAAGAAAATCACAAAACAAAAACAAAAAACAAAACACCTGACAAAAATTCCTCATGTTTACATCATTTTAAAATTCTGAATAGCATACATATTCTTGGTTCTTAGAAACTACAACTTGAGTCAATTATTTCTATTTTGCTCATTTTTCATTCTTGTGATCAGTATTTTTAACCTTTTTAATCTCAATAAGCCAAAATCTGATCAAAGCAATACCATTTCTGTCCATATATCATATTAAATTTCTCATCATGCAACTTAAGAAATCCTGTTTTTGGCAATCCACTTTAAACAGAGTCCTCGGCTATTCATCTCAGGAATGGCTTCTCTTAGGGGAGGCCTGGAGGTGGCAGTGCTACCCACTCTCTTTTCTGGCTTTTCTTATTGCTTCCATTGAGGATCTTCATCCCAGCCTGGTACATCATTTCTGCTTCCTGCATTTGCCGTCTTTTAGCAGCCTCTTCTTCAGCTAAAAACAAAATATTAGATGCATTTAAATGGACTTTAATTAATTCTATACCAATTATTTATCAAACATGAGCATGTATTCTGCCTTTTGGGTAGTCAGACAAACACAATCATCTTTTACTTTTAACAAACCCGACCCTAAAGACACACGATTTAAGTGTTTTTTACCTGACAAAAGATTTATTTAAAAAAAAAAAAGAAACAAACAAAAACAGTATCAACCTACTTTTGGAGGGTACTTTTCTTCTAGTAATTCTAAAACTATTACTGTAATTCAACTAAAATTTCAGTAGTAGCTTATGATTTGATTTATATGCCAAGGTCAGCTAAAATGAGGAAAGAAGGATATTAAAAAACAATAGTCAGAAAAACACCATAAAGGACCCACGGACAAAGCCCAATTGGGGAAGAATTGAGGGTGGGAGGTAGGGGTGGGTGGGGCAGGGGAAAGTGGTGGCTGGAAAATGGAGACAAATTTTTTGAATGATAAAAAAAAAAAGGAAAAAGAAACAACACCCACTTTAGTCAAAGGACACTGTAGCCTCACCTGAAATTCCGTATATCTTTATAATGAGAAAGTATCTGATTGATTACATAATAAAAATTTGTAAAAAATAGGTTTTTATTAAATATGAATACTTATTAATGTTCAAATTCTCTATTTTTTCCCTATGCATTGATATAACCCTGAAAAGTCACAGGATTGTTATAGAGTTCTCAAAATTAATTTGCTACTATAATACAGTATATTAGAAATCGAGAACTCAGTAAGACATATCTGAATATTTCATAAGGACCAATATTTATAGAAACAGAAGTGAGTTCCTGCATATAAAAAAGTCTAAAATCTGATTGTATTACACTGAAATATCTAATCATACTAGCCTGCAGCCAAGGATGGGCTATATCTGATGTTGTCTTCTCAGAATGCCTAATTATGTACCAGAGCCATTATTTTGAAAATGTTAAATGGAGTCAAAGGAGCTATGTTCAAGATTTTCTGTTGGTTTTTTTATTAGTTACAAAGTTTTTCTTGGGGGGAAAAAAACCTTTAAAGGTCAGCCCATTTATATGGACATTAAAATGCAGGAAGGTTAAATATACATAATTTGTCAAATATTACCTGAGCACAGCCCATCTTACTGAAAGTGTTTTTCAAAGGTATTATTTTTCTTCTAAACACTATTAACCTTCTTCATAATGTTATTTCCTTTACTGTCAAAAAATGTTTTACATTCATTAATTTAGCAGCCTGCCTAAGGGTTTGGAGAACAACTTGCAACTTAGAGATGGAAAACCATCTCTAAATAAAACACAGTGTGATAAGCTGCCTGAGTGACAGGCTGGAATTCAGTAAGTAAACGTCAAGCTTCCTGTGCCAAAGTCCATTCTTTAAGGCTATACCCACATTATCAACGCCAATCAGTTGTGACAAGGGTGGAAAAAAGATGGCTACCAAAGGCCTTAAAGGTGCCGTCTGAGACATCAAGCAACGTGGACGTGTCTTCTACAGATCAATACTCACTCTCACAAAAGCCCCACTTTTCATCTGCCTTGTAGTCATAGGTTGTGGCACACCACAGTCGGCCGTCGTCCCTCCCATCTGAGGTACACTCATCATACTCTTTATCGAGGAAAAGAAAAGGGAAGTGGCAGGGCTCCCCATGGGCTGTGCCTTCAATGGCGGTCAAAGCTGGAAAAAGAGAAAAAATCTGAACATGAACAGCACCTGTGGTATTCATGGATTTAACACCGTCAATTTCAACTACAGATTGTAAAGACGAAGATACGTGACTTGTAATAGGGAACATAAAAAAGCCAGCACCAATTCTGTTTAGGGATAACCTGAAGGTGAGTCAACTTAGCATGGCTAACTGACTACCCGGCTCCATATCTAGCTGAGGATCTCTGAGGGTCTTGAGATCTTATAATCTTAGAATTCTGTCCACTGTACGACTTTTGCCTAACTAGTGAGCAAAAAAATAAGGCAAATGCAACGGAATCAATTCCACTGCTCAGCACAACTCTCCTCTTTTCTATCTCCATGCTGTAAGTCAATTTCTTCAATAATATATATAGGGGAAATGCTCCCCCAAAGTTAATCACTCCCATGAGCCTCTGTGATCCCACAGCATTTTATTAGAGCACTATCATACACACTGAGGTTTGTTCTTTACCTAGCTCCCACTAGACCTTAAGCTTATTTAGGGCGGAGGCCATGTCTCCAATTTGATCTATAAGTTCGTTCTGAGTATCTCCAAAGTGCTGGGAACGAGGTGGAGCAGACATCTCTGCTATACAGAATTTACTACCTTGCAAGGAAGAGAGACAGTAAACAAAAGTGTGATTGATGTTATGGAATGGAAAGTCTCTCCTATCAGGAACTGAAGTTCACACTGAACCTCACAGATGTTTAGGAGCAGGAAGTGGTTGATAGGCAGTGGGGCAGGGAGCAGCAGTATAAACAGAGAGAACAGGTGTGTTAAGAATCAAAAGAAAATAAGCATAATACACTAGACAAAATTTTAAGAGTTCAGGAGGTTGTAACATGCAGTGCGAGTGCCAAAGTGGGTAAGAGATGAGGCTACAAAAGCATGAAGGAGCCAGACTAGGGAGGTCCTGACTAATCTTACTAAAGACTTTGAACTTTATCCTGAGAACAGTGGAACTCATTTAAAAGTTTCAAGTAGGAATGACATGCTCACACTTACATTTTATTGAGAGTGGACAATGGAATGAAGGGAAGCAGGCTGGATGCAAGGTGACCAGGCTAAGGGTTGCAACGGCAGTCTAACCAAGAGGTAATGGCAGCCTGGAGAGGATCGTGGAGTGAAAGAGCGGAAGTTGCTATGGTACTATTTTCCTGCCTGACTGCATGTGCAGATGAGAGGAGAGAGGAGGCAATGAAGGCTCCCAGGTACTAGGCTTCAGGAAGTGAGTAGAAGGTTGTCCTTACTAAGACAGAAGGCTCTCACCACCCTAACTGATAGAAGTGACTCACTGTACCTAAACTGTTTGTAAAAACAATGTGGTTTATGCTCAACATATGTTTTCTTCCTGGGAGTCTGTATTTTGGTACATGCTAGACAGAGAGTGAATACATGATCACCCTCCACTAAAAACTTGAAGGCCTGGGTCTCTAATGAGCATCCCTGGAAGATAACAAGTGACACTTTCACCAGTGTTGCCACATGTGTTAAGGGATGTAAGTGTTCCCTGTATAACTCCAAGGAAACTTGCACCTGGCTTTCTCCGGACTTTGCCCCATGCTGATTTTGCTCTGTATCCTTTCATTATGATGAATCACAGCTGTGAGCACATCTATATGCTGAGACCTCCCAGCAAATCATCAAACCTGGGGATGGTCTTGGGGACCTGCAACATCAGCTGGCATCAGACGTGGCATTTGCTAGAATGACCCCGACTCACTGAAATACAGTGCAAGCACTGTTTGAGAAAGGAAGGGTAAGGGGCAGGGTATGCCGGATCTTCGGTGCCCCAGTGGTTACTGTCACCCATGATACTCAGAGTTGCGCTGCCCTCTGTCATGAGAGGTCAAAGTTACCTGTGGAATTTGAGAATGACAGATCCAACTCCAGGAGAGTGGGCTCCCTCGATTCCCCACCTGCTCTGGGCCATGCTGGCTAAAGTGATGACGCCTTTGGGTTTTGTTCTTTCCTCCAGGTAGAAGGAGAAAGGACCTCAAATTCCCAAAGATGAATGGGTCAAATTGTTAAAACTCCCAACTGCTCTTTCCTACAAGTAGGGTGAAGGGTAGTGGTGAGGGGAAGGGAGTTAAATCACCTTCCAGGGCTGGAATAAAATTTTATTCCAGAAAAAATGGGAGGGAGGTAATCTTCCAGCAGTTTTTTTGGGCCTAGCTGCTGCGGTAGCTGCCTCCACTCCCCTTCCTCCCCTGCATTCCAGCCTGACCTTTGCTGGCAGCTGTGATGTTAACACTGCAAATACTAAAGTTACCTTGAGGAGTTAAGTAAATTTGAAATGAGGGGAAAAAAATAAAAAGGAATTTTTTTAGTGGCTCTGTATTTTGCGGCTATCACATTTGAATGTATGGTAAAAATGGATGTAAAACATGAAATGCTTGTAATTCCATATGCCAGAGGAATTATCCTGATCGGGGAAGCTGCATAAAAATTATGTGCACAGGGGACACATTTTCCATGCAAAAGTTTTGCTGCTTGTCGGCAGGCTGAAATTGAAACTCTCTGAATATTGGAAGAAGATCAAATTTCTGTAACTGATAAGTTTTGCTACTGAGAAGAAGCCGAGTTTGCCACCCCAAAATATGTCACTGTGAGATACTGGTTATTTTAAACTGGTTATTTTTAAGAAACAAAAGACTCAAGAAGAGCCTTTTATCTCCCACCCCCAACCACTGCCTGCCTAAAGGAATTCAGATTAAAAAACCACGTGCCAGGAAGGGAGATCACCTTAGTGTAACCTGAACTCAGTATGGCAGACAGGGAGAAGCCTAGCAAAGTCTGTTACATTCCCCCACCGTGTCCCGTTGTTTCTGGGTGGCCGTGCAAAAATTTGTTCACCAAATATTTGCTCCTTCCCACCTACCTGTGAATTGCCCATCTTCCCTTCGAAGTTCAAACCACTACCCCAGGCCCCCTTCTCCTTAGCTCAAAATGGCATCTAAGCCTCAAATGTCCTGTTGGTCCACTGGTGTCACATTCATATGGAGCCCCAGTATGTACACAAAATCTGTCTCATGTCAATTTGATTATTAGACCATCCAGAAGAACAATGAGGAAAAAGATGGAAAATTTCCATTCCTCTACACTATGGATAGAGACTTTTACTTGTTGGAGCCTTGGGCAAGAGGGAGACATTAAGAAAGAGAGGTGATCCACAAGTGGAGGTATACTTTTGAAGTTCTAAAAGGCAGATTTTAGTTTGCTAAGGAATGCCCATCAAAGCAGAGGTCTGGCTCTTAGAGACTGATTTGCATGTCTGTGAGTGGGTCAACTTGAACTCAAACGAGACAGATAAGATGAAAGGGGTGGAGAAAAGGCTTGCTGATACTTGGACTTTCTGGCCCTGCAGCATCTGGCCTTTGCTGCTCCAATAGAAAAGCCTCTGGCTTTTCAAAAATCCTGAACTTACACATCCTAACTGCCTGGGTTTGACTCTAAGCCACAAACCAATACAGTCTGGTCTAGGCTTCCGGTCTCGGCATGAGCTGTGCTGAACTTTAGGCAGGCCTTGGCTCCAAAAACAGAACGCAGACACTGACCTTTGCACATGAGGTCACCTCCCTGTGGGGCCCTGCACTGTGAGGAAATCATGAATGCTTGGCTAACTGTCCGAGTCACATACAAATCCCACAGGCAAGGGCTTGCTCTTTGATCGGACCATTTGAAATCAAGCTGCTGACTAGTGGCATGTTTTCAGAGACTGACTTAATTTGTGACCACAGCCCAAAGCTGCAAGTTCGGAGAGGAACCCACACAGAGACCGTGACCCTGCACTCACTGCTGAGAGGTCATAAAGACTCCCGTCCCCTGCCTCCTACCCAACATGTCTCACTGCGGGTGAATCCTTATGTCTGGTTCTCCTGACTCAGTGCTGGTTGTAACAAGGGACTGATTACTTGACCCCCCCTTCCATCACCTTCCTCCTAGTGCACACCCTTAGCGCAATCTAATTATTCAGCGCCGCTCTCCTCAGCAAGGGGTTGGCCTTTCCTAGGCTGCTCACTGGGTAAGAGGAAGGAGGCTATGGAAATCCATTTTGAAATTTTCTGAAAATTCAGGATTGTCCTGAGCAATTCCTGAACATGATATCTTTCTAGTTCAGTCGTATAAAAGTGTTTTCCTATGACGATGTTTTGTCCCTCTTGCACACAACCCCTCCAGATGAAAGGTCTGGATGGGAGTAAGGGATGATTGAAAAAAATAAATTATGATTACTGAATGGAACACCAATTTTGTAACAACCAAGGACAATAAATCTATACCCCTGCACCTGGAGAGGCACAAGGGAAGGAAGACAGTATTATGATCTTCGTTTTTCAAAACATTTTCTGGGAAGGTCTCACTTTTCCTAAGGGAAAGCTCTCTGTGTCCCTTCCAGGCTGCTGAGAGCGCTCTGCCTTCCGGCTGCGGGGCCTGTGATCGGTGTGACAGGAATGACTACGAGGCGGCAGCAGGAGGCGGCCCACACCCGCACTTTCCAAGCAGAAAACCTCCACGTGCTGTCCACCCTCATGAGGTGGAAGAGCTGGGATCACGGACAACACAACCGTCTGGAACTGTCTGGGAGTCCCTCCGAATCTAAGGACTGAACTAAACTGTTAGGACTGGAAACTCTAGGGTAAGACGCGCATGGTGGGCGTCCAGCTTGGGGTGCCCCAATGACTGCAAATTGTTTCTGCGGTTGCCACATGTGCCCTCTGGGGCAGTTATCCTGTGTGTGTACCCTGACTGCCATGACTGCCTCAGCCCTGGAGGGCTTTCCATCAGCTTTAACTTACTGGCCAGAGTTGTGCTAGGCCTGAACTGTTGCGTAGGGTCAGATAAAAAAGGTTAATACAGAAACTTAAAAAGAAAGCCATCTTTATGATTAATGGGATTTGTTAACTGGCTACATCCAGGGCCTGTGAAGGGCATAACTGATATCAATACTGCAGGTTGGTCTTGCTCTACTGTCTGGGTCTTACTGATGATAACTTTGCTGTAAAGACAACTTGGCCAACGACCACAGATTGTGCAGAGGAGAGTTAATGCAGCAGGCCTAAACATCCATCCTTGAAAAGGCCTGCTTACAAGGTTGGCTCTTGACTGGTATCTGGGAACTTAGATTTCCAAAGGGTTCCTGATACCCCAAATGTTAACAGTGGCTCACCCCAATTATACAAAAAATATGGTGTATGTTGAATGCCTGCTTTCCTTCTAGGAGTCTGGCAATAGGTATGCGATCACTGTATCTTTGAAAATATTAGTTAAGTGTGTTAGTGGGTATGATCTGATTCCTGTGAGTCCCATTTGTCAATCTGAACTTCGTGTTATCTTACCTGTAATATTTAATTTGAACTGTTAGAGTCAGTATGAATGATACATTTCTTAACCCTATCCACCAAAAAGGTCCAGTAGTAATGACAACTCAGCTGCAATGCATATCCCTGGTGCCCAGATTATACTATCTAAATACAGCTTCCCACTAAAAGCAACCTGGGTTCCTTGGAGAAATGGCTGAGATTCATTTCTGGGTCAGGAAATGTGTAAGATGAATTTGGGACAACTTGTCCTGCCTAGAAAGAGAAGGTTTACTCATAATTAGTAAAAGAACAAAGGACTGACCTTAAAGGGACTCTCAATGGCCCCAAATGGGATAATGTGAGCAATAAATGGGAATGATTGTAATAGAATGAAGCGTAAGTATGTAAAACCCATGGATTTGCAATGATGCTTGAAAGCAAAGCAAAAAAAAAAAACCAGCCAACAAACAAAAACACACTCACTGGTCTCCTTCAGTGGTTGCTAGGAAACCAAATTATTTGAAAATATTTCAAGGAAAAGAATTAAACATTTTCCTGCTTCCTTGTATTGACCATATTTCAGAGTAACTAAATAGCTGATGAGGGAAAGTTCTCTATAAAATAATCCCAGGCAATAAATGCAGGAGAAATGATAAATTAGAAAGTTATCACCTTGCAACTCCTAACGAACTAATGGATCCAGACAATAAAACAGTTCCCAGGATCTCTAGGTGAAAAGTCAGTGAGGAACTTTTGAGTGGCGGGACCAGGCTGACACCACACAATCTCACCGACCACTCTCCAGATGTGGGGCAATCAGACACTGTACGCCTCCCAATGCAATGTAGTAAGAAATGGAAATGACTCTCTATGAAATAATATTAACTAAAAAAATCTACCTAGGCCCCTCGGGCTAACTTCTAATTTATAGACTAGACAGCAAAGTGCAACAAGTTAAACAACATTTCAAGGATATGACCAGATCCAGAAACTGGGAAGCTGATAGCACAAAAGTCATTTTTTCTTTAACAAATAAAATGACACAAATAAGGGAGAGGGAACTGTCACAGATTAAGAGAAACCAAAGACCTAAGCATGGATACTAATTCAAACAAACCAATTCTAAAAATACATTTGAAATAATTGGGAAAACTGAACAGAACTTGGGTATTGGGAGATAAAGGAATAACAGCTAGTTTTGTGGGTGTTATAATACTATTGTGGTTCTGATGAAAAATATTATTTTTAGATATACACATATAAGTAAAATAATATGTGGAATTTGCTTTAAAATACTCTAGGAGAGGGGAAAGACAGAGGAAACGTGTGGGGTGCTAAAAATGAGAAGAGAACAAGAGCGCTGAAGCTGGGTGATGGTGGTGACAAGGAGGGGTCATTACACCCTCACTTTTGTACCTTTGGAAATCTCTCTGATAAAAAATAAAAAGGAACAGCCCCTGGGACAACTTCAAGTTCACCAACATTTGCACCATGGGAGTGCCAGAAGGAGAAGAGAGAGCAAGGAACTGAAAACTTATGTAAAAAAATGATGATGAAAAACTTCCCTAACCTGGTGAAGGAAATACACATACAAGTCCAGGAAGTGCGGAGAGCCCCAAACAAGATGAACCCAAAGAGGCCCACACCAAGACACATCTTAATGAAAATGCCAAAGGTTAAAAACAAAGAGAGCATCTTAAAAACAGCAAGAGAAAAGCAGTTAGTTACCTACAAGGAAGCTCCGATAAGATTATCAGCTGATTTGTCAACAGAAACTTTGCAAGCCTGTAGGAATAGGCAAGAAATATTCAAAGTGATGAAAAGCAAGGACCTACACAACAAAGCTTACTCTACCCAGCAAAGCTATCATTTAGAATCGAAGGACATATAAAAAGCTTACTAGCCCTGGCTGGTGTGGCTCAGTGGATTGAGCACTGGCCTGTGAAACAAAAGGTCACCAGTTTGATTCCCTGTCAGGGCACATGCCTGGATTGCAGGCCAGGTGCCCACTTAGGGGCATGTGAGAAGCAACCAACTGATGTTTTTTTCACACATCAATGTTTCTCTTCCTCTTTCTTCCTTACTTTCCCTCTCTCTGAAAATAGATTTAAAAAAAAAAAACAGGTTTCCCAGACAAGAACAAGCTAAGGGAGTTCATCACCACCAAACCTGTATTACATAAAATCTCTTCTTTAGAAGAAAAAATATATATAAATAATAAAATGGCAATAAATACATATCTATCAAGAATTGAATCTAAAAAATACACACACCCCCCACCTCCACACCCACATACATACATACACACAAGTAGAACAGAAACAGACTCACAGAGAACATTTTGATGGTTGCCGGATGGGAAGAGGGTTAGGAGAATGGGTAAAAAAGTGGAAAAGATTAAGAAGTACAGATTGGTGGTTAGAGAACAGTCACAGGGATGTAAAGTACAATATAGAGAATATAGTCAATAATATTCTAGTAACTATGTATGGTATCAGGTGGGTAGGATATTTATCAGGACAATCACTTAGCAAGTTATATAATGCCCAATTACTAGGTTGTACACCTGAAACTAATATTATCAACTGTAATTGGAAAAAAAATATTTAAAGTAAAATAAATAAAAAGGAATGAATTAAACGCTAATAGTTGGCCCAAGTTAAAAAAATGGTATTATAGGATTGGCCTAGGTGCAGGAAGAAAAGGTAGTTTCAAAGGAAGTAAACAGAATTACTTTTCTGAAGAAAAGTTTAGCAATATGTATCAATATCTTTTAAAATTTTATATTCAGTCCAGATAATTCACTTTTAAGAACCAATTCACAAGAAATTTTCATGGATGTGCACTAAGATACATCTAAAATGATCTCCCAGTCATAAAAAAAAAGTAACCTATTTCAAAGTTACTTTATTTACACATAAAAATATTTTATAGCCATTAACCATCAAATTGTAAAAGAATACTAAATGATGTAGGAAAATAGTCAAGATAAACTATTACATGCAAAAATGCAGGCAGTAAAATAGTATATACATTTTGACCCAATTTAGTCTTAAAACCATACATCTAGAAAAAAGCCAGAAAGAATAAGTAATTCTTCATGATGTTAATAGCTGTTATTTCTAGTTGATGGGGTTCAGGTACTTCTAATTTTTTTACTGGTTTTTCTATTCATACATATGTATGGAATATTTGTAATAACAAAATATATTTTTAAAAGGTAAAATCTCAATCGAGTCCTCAGAGTGGCTAACAATGGAATAATAAGTGGGTATAGTGGTGACCTTTGAACTAAATGACAGAAGGGTGGTAAAACAGGGCAGAGTCGACACATTAATAATTAATACCTTAAAGGATAGGTATTTAGCACACTCTATTGTGAAAAATATCATGTTTTAAATTTAAAAATAGAGGGTATCAAGGTGAAAGTCAGAAGAGCATTAAAGTTTATGTAAGCTTAAGTGGAGAAGGATAAACAAGTTACCTGAGAGAACTGAAAAGGTTACTGCAGTAAAAATCCTAATACAATTCTGAAAATAACCAAAGTATTTTCAAAGCTTGTGAGATAATCCTTTTTGAGTTTCTTGTGTGTAACACTCTGACAGATTACTACTAACTGGGGTCCAAAAAGAAATGTTAGAATATTAATATAATGTAAGTGCAATTTTGACTGTTGAATTTGGCATATGTAAGTGGGTCAAATCTGTTAAGTGAGTAACACTGATATATTAAAATCTAGAAAATCCTATAAAACTACCACATTTTGCCATGTATAATGTGCACTTTTTTGCCCAAATTTTTGAGGGAAAAATAAGGATGCGCATTATACATGGGTAGTACTAATTTCGTATCTATATAAATGTTTTTAATTCTTTTATTTATGCTTGTGTGTTAAAAGTGTAACTCTAGGATGCAATAACGATATCTGTGTGCAAAATAATACCCTGGAATATGATAATCGGTTTTGCTCCTAAATATAAATAAATAAATAATTGAATTAAAAAATTAAAATATTTTTTTCCTGAAAGTCTGTACCAAAAGCATGGGTGCACATTATACACGGCAAAATATGGTACATTCTACACATATGTTGTCAATAATCAGAAAAACCAGACTTCTGTATCTTTTATACTAGCTTTAAAATTTCAGTTGTCTCCTTCCTAAATCAGGCAAAAGCAAAGAAAACGTCCACACTACCTGGTTTCCGTACTTTTGTCGGTTCTTCATAATCCTTGTTTTCTGGATTTGAAGGTTCTAGAAAGCTGCTTTCTTCTGTGACGCTTTCCCCTTCTTGGCTCCTGAGGCTCTCTTCCTCCTCTTGAATAGGTGATTCCAATTCTGATTCTTCTGAATCAAGAAATATCTGACCAGCCACTACTCTGCCTCCTGTGCTGTGGTCCTTTACTGACTCATCTGGTGGCAAAGAAGTCTGAGAATAGAAAGTATTTTTAGCGATCAATGGTACCAAAACTCATTTCAATCTAATTTGACCATTACTTTTATAATCCAGATATATCTCCTTCAGCTCCCTTAATGTGCCATGCTCACTGATCTCTATAGGCTTTCGTAAGTGTCTGCCACATTGTCTCCATCACCTGCCTAATACCTATTCTTCCTTTGAATTTCCACTTAGATTGCTTCCCCCAGGAAGCCCTTCTTAATTCCTGGAATCTGGGTTAGGGTCTTCCCCTACATGCCTCTAACATATCTTACACTTTCCTTTATGGCAGCCCTGTGCTCCAACTTCCTGTTTCTCATCTACAATAGATTCCCTCTAATCTAGAGATCAGGGGATCATAACTGACTGGTCTCCTTGAATACATAATAATCAGCCTTATCCATTCAATCAACCAATTTAAGTACAGAACTCAACAGATTTTTTTAAAAAACTGATGTAAGTAAAAATAAGTATGGCAGAGGTTCAGTCTTCAAAATTAAAAAACCTAAAAACTAAAAAAATAGGAATAAAACCAATCTCTCTTTAGGCAACAGGAGCTTTTAAGCTCTTACACATACACATCCACATCCACAGAACATTCAAGTATAACTTAAACCTAATAACCAACACTCTTGATGAAAATGTTTATTTTCTCTCCCGTAGGTCAGTGATTTTTTTCTTTCTGAAGAGTTAGAACTAATATCGATACCAGCTATTTTTTTCTTTTTAAAAATCAAATTCTGTTGCTCAAAAGATGTAGATTTCATATCCTTTGTTTTAAATCAGGCATCAAATATGAGTCAATGCAAATTTTAGTACACACCTTGGAATCTAAGGATTCATCCTGGCTGCCTTCTTCATCTGTAAAGAAATTTTAAGACAATTTCATATTTCTTGTTGGGAAATCACGGGTATTATTAAAGGCAAGCACTTAATAAATACAACAAATAATAGACACTAAATAAATAAATCTAGAATTATCTAAAACTGGATGTATTCAGCAACTGTTTAGAAAAGATTAAGTGGAAAGTGGGTTGGGGTGGTAGTTTTTCCTCTTTTTCCAGGAAAGACATTAGCTTTATCTGTTACACAAGTGGGAAGACCAACAACTCCTACACCAAAACCAGATACTTCAGATACCACCAAATTCTTCTGTATATATTTAGTCTACTACTGAGGATGAGTTATTCAATTTATAAAAATAAATCTCTGATCTTGTGGCTCAGGATTCTACCTATTCTTTTCTTCAGCTCAGAATCTGTTAGTGCTGATTAGCACTTTATTGTTCATTAAGACTACTAAAGACAGACGCTAAGAATCATTATTATTTGACAGCAGAGTTGTGTGAGGTGTGCTATTTTACTGGAGAGCGAGATACAAGTAAAAAGTAGCATCCTACTATTATGTACTCATTCACAAAAGATGTTTATTTAGCTTATATTAAACAGTGAATCCAGACACTAATTATGCCTTTCTTCCAAATTCCTATCTGCTGTCTTGGCTTTGTCTGATTATATTAATTTTTCTTCTATTTTTCTTTCTGTGTTGTCCTTGCTACTACTTCTATTCTGGTCCCCTGTTATTCTTTTTCTTGTTCTTATATAAGAACATCAACAACCCAATGTCCACATGCAAATGTTTGCTCTTTGTGTTCCTGGCCAGTTAGAAACAGTCAGATGATCCCTAAGTTTCCTTCTTACTCTTAGAATTACCAAGTTTTAGATAGGAGGAGCTTCCATTTTGCCTGTTCCATAAATTATGTGAGAAATTAACCAGTAGACGAACTATTAAGACCATGCGATTTTTACTAGAAAATTTCTTTACTTCATATATGGTCATATCCTGAATATTATTCATAACTTCTAACTCTCTAAAGCATAACAAAAACATGTTTTGGAATTTGTATTATCACAATACTGAGCTAACTTTAAGAAGTATAACCAACTCAAAGTTATGTGAAAAACACACAGGTCTGTTTCACAGCATTTGTTTCTTTTGAATATTTGAAAAAAAGCCTACTAGTAAGGTTTTGTCATATACAGAAGTGCTGTCAATTGAAAAAAATTTAAATTGTAGGTACTTTCACATTCTTTATTTTTAGATTACCTTCAAATATGTTTTATTTCTGGTGGGTGGGGAAGAGGAGGGTATAGCATGTATTAATCCATAGTGCCCATACATTTAGGTAGTGATGTCAATTAATTAATAATCATCCTTCAAGCTAACTTCTTCACAAGTATCACCCAAAGGCCAAGTTTTAACATATGGTTCAAATTTCTTTCTCAAAATATCTTTGAATAAAGGGGAAAATATTCATCTTATTATATTGAAGTTGTATGTGTGGATATATTTAATTAATCACAAACATTAACTAGTTAATATATCAAGAACAGACATTAAATATGCAAATATACATGGTATATCCCAATACCAAAACTTTGGATTATTTGAAACTCTTAAGTCATTAAATCATTAAGTTTAGTACCTTGTCACAACATGTCATATATGTAGCTAATCAGTAAATAATATAGATGCCTATAAATAAATTTTAAGACATGTACATTTGAGACACTACAAGCTGTTAGATATTAATGTGTTTTTGAACTCCAAGAGTCACAGGAGCTTCTGACATCAGGGTTATTTCGTGTGAATTGCATCATGCTTCTTTCTCTCTCTTCTCTCTTCACAAACTAGGAATAGATACTAAGGTTACTGGTAAATAAGAGAATTTTTTCTCATTTACTAAAGTGGGAGAAGCTACTCCAGATGGTAGTCTTAAAACATAAGCTATTTTCTCTTTCAAACTGATGTATCTATTCCCATTAACACACTTACAGAAGTTGCTTATAACTTAGAAAATTCTGCTCTGTATAAGTCAATAAGGATTAAACACACTGAAGTTATGCATAAATAAGAAGAAAATAGTAAGGCTTTAATCAGAACACAGACATCAAGCAACAAGAAAAATGCAAAAGGATTCAATGAGGAGTTACGGATTTCTCACTCAACAGTATTATACCCAAAATATAATGGTTTGCATTACTTCATAAACGCACACCTTCCTTTGAAAAATATTAATTTTCATTTTAACTTTATCAGATAACAAAACTGCAAAGTACCAGGGACAGTCTCTCAGGAAAAAAGTAATTATTACAAATTCATTTCCCAACTCATCATGTAAATTACACTGATACACCTTCAAATACAGAGAGTCTTAAGAGTTTGGTGCAAAGTAACATCCTGTCTTCTGCTTTGACATTGAACCTCTAAGATCCTAGGATACTCCTGATTCTTAATTACTGCAAATCCAAAGGCTGGAGAGCTGGGTTCAAAACCTGCCTTCATTATATATTAATTTTATACATGTGGTTCAATATCGCAAACTTGCTCAGCCTCCTATTCCTCATTGGGTCAGAAAGGAATAATACCATCTGCCCTGTTGACTCACAATGTTTTGAGGAACAAAAGGACAATGAAACTAAACATTTCTGCGATCTGAAATTTACTTCTGAATATATGGTATTAACATAATTATTATTTGAAATACCTAGCAGTGGACCTAATTTATAAGACTCTGCAACACTGTTTGGCACATACAGCGAAAAGTAAACCATTTGCTTGTTCCTGCTGAAAATAAGAAAAACATATATTTCTAAGTGATAAAAGTTAAAGTATTTCCCACTGTTATCTTGAGAAAATGAAGGAGGAATATCTTTTTAAAAATCTTTACATTTACTTATTCACAGAGAAAACATTTTCAATAAAAGTATCATTTTTTTCCATGCCTCTAAAACAAGAAATTAAATAACAGCTACAAATGGTGACAGGATCAAAATTCTCTTTGTTGGCTGATCATCATATTCCACCTGCTAATAAATGCAACTTACTCTGGGTAACCATTAACATTCAAACTTTAAGTCAACACAAAATTATAATCCAAACCCAGATATTTAAATAGGAGCAAATCTTTAAATCTAAACTAAAAAGGAGCCCATATAAATAAGCAACTTTATGAATAAAAAAATCAACTGAAAATCCACATACTCAATTTATAAAACTTTATCTCACATAAGTGTTTTATGATGTTTGCATTTCATGTGAGCACAGCACTGTCTTTATTACCTGTCAGTCTCCACATCTATTATTATTTAGTTCTGGCTAAAAAAAGTTTTTGCCTCAAAACTGAGAAATGTTTTGGCACAATTTAACTAGGATGGAAATCACAGGGGACACTCTTGAGCTTATTCCTCTGCTTATAGCAACACAACCCAAAGATTTAACACTTCAGTACTAACAGTCTTCCATCATGGCACACTGAGAACCCAACTGTTGATTAGATGACTTCGAGTATCATCTCCATGGACACAAAGCTCAAAGTATAAAAACTCTAGTCCAAGGAAGATGCAGAAAAACATTGGTATGCTTTAACGTTCTTTATATTCTGCAAATTGAATTCAGAGGGCTATATATCATATTCTTTAGCTAGTAGTTCTCACACTTAAGTGTAAAGATTCACTTGCAAAGTCTGTTAAACTACAGACACACTAACCTATTCCTGACATAAAACTGTATTTTTAAGAAATCTCTAAGAGCAATTCTGATGCAAGATGGTCCATGAAGTACCTTATCTGCTACATTCAACAATTTCTTTTCATACTTTCTTTGATCAAATAACTGCTAGCAATGCTTCAAGAGTCATGTCAAGTTTTAAAGATTTGGTCATGAACGCAAACTATCACTGAAAGGGGAGGCAGGGGAGCCTGACCTCAAACTATGACGGTGGCTGTGAAGTAACTAGTATACGCTTGTTGCTTCTGCAATGGTATCTCAAACCACATTATGGATAGAATTTTAGGTTTAGACCTCTTATTTTAGAAGCAGAATGACGTTATGGCATTGACTTACAACTAGGACAGATAATCTGGGGATTCAAATAACCATCTGGGAAATTTTCTGATGGAAAAAAAGTTGACATTTATACCATGCCTGTTCTAAAAAAATTTAAAGCCACAGAACAGATGTCTTGTTAACAGAAAGTGATTAAAATTCAAAAGCTTTATTGTACCAATTGTTTCTTTACCAACAGTTAGAAAAAACACGAAGTTCTTCTTTACCAACAATCTCAAAACAGAAATTTTCAGATGTAAGCAGATTCAAGTATTGAAAAGGAAAAATATTATTTTTAGAACCAGAGTATAAATCAGCTACTTGAAAAATCAATTCAAAAGCCCGTGAATTTCTGTATCTACAAAAAAGTTAAAACTAGCTCCTATCCTTTTAAAATTTATAGGGTCCCTGATTTTCTCACAAATCATAAAATTACTGTCAATACACATGGCACATCGTGACAGAGATAAAAACCACTTTCTTAGGATGCTGACTTCTTCAAGAGGGGGAGGGAACAGACACAATCATTACAAAGGTTCTCCTTATTAATTAGACAAAGAGACTGGGGAACCACCTCAGGTGCTAAGCAAATCAGTGTCAACATCCTGGTTCTCCTGGACCTGGCTCTGCCCAGTGACAGCGCCAGGTGTGTCAATTACCTAATTTTACAAATCCCAAATCCAGGGTTTCAGACCCAACGCAGCACAAAATCTACATCAGAATCGAGGAAGCTCCAGCAGGACTCCCGTGTCCCCGTGGGTCTAAACCAGCTGTGGAATTGACTCCCAAGGAGTCAATTCCTCATTCGCGAGAAGGAGTCGTGCAAAGTTTGTTAAGTGAGAAGAGGTGCTGGCACGGTGACCGCCCCTTCTTTTCCTCCCCGCTCTAGTTCCCTAAACACCCCCTCCAGCTGAGGTCAACAGAAGCCCAAGGAATGACAGCGAGTGAAGGCTGGTGCTAGCTGTGACCAGAGAAGGGTTGAGTCTCCAGGTTGAGCCCCCAAGGCCCTACCCAGGGTGGAGGCCGGAGGGGGCGGTGGCTCCCGACCTCGAGGGGGCGGATACTGACCCGAGGCCGCCGAGGCCGTGCCTAGCAGCACCGCACAGAGCAGCAGCGTCAGCCCGACGCGGACCCGCATCCTGCTCTCGGGGCCGCTGCCACCGCCTGGAGCTGTCGCTTTCGCCTCTGCCACCACCGACTCCGCCGCCACCGCCTAACCGTTGCTCTTCCTGCTCTAGTCTCCTTCCTCCGCCCCTTCCCAGGCCTCCCTGCCCTAGAGCGCAGCCTATCCCCGCCTGCGGCCGCGGGCTCCTCACCCAATCGGCGAGGTACTCCCGCCCACCTCACTGCCCTGCCCCCGGGGTCATGCATTGGCCAATCATTATGCGAGGCACCCACACCGGCTTTCCCGGTTGGACCACGGCGTCACCGACATGGCCCCAGTTAATTGGTAGCTTCTGGGTTCAACCATTCCGGAATCAGAGCGTGATTCCAGGGTTGGGAAGTCACTTAGGACTACGAGTCCCACAATGCACTTTGTGGTCTGCTCTCGTTGTGAGCTTTTGGGAAGCGTAGTCTATAGTGAGGTATGGTTTAAAAGTGCAGGTGGCCGTTTAAAAAAACTTAGGTAACACCTGGGCCGAACACTAATTGAAGTCCTTGAACCTCCGGGCCTTTTTTTTCTTTTTTTTGGAGCCAAAATAAATATTAAGAAACAAACATTGTAAGGTTAAGAGTTTGTAATCTTCCTCTATTTTATTTAGAAAATTTGAATTGGAATAATGATATCAGTGAGTTAAAAATACAACTGGTAGACCGAATTCGAGGTATTTTTTTCTAACTTAGATGAAACAATACCATATACTTGGAAACCAGGATAGAACTTCCTGTCGGTCCTCTTTTCCCTGACAAAAAGAAATGAATCCCACTCATTGCAGATCATTTCAATGCTAGTTTTCATTTTTATGAGGGCCATCAGATAATCATTTAGAAAAATGTGCCAACAGCCTTTGCAAAACCCTTTCAAACACTTGTCCCCATCGGTCTCTTTGTAAGTTACATTGTTCTCTTCTTTATTGACAAGATTCAGGAACCTAGGTTAATGTTTTTGGAAAAAAGGTGACAGTGAGTGCATTGCAGAAACAAATGGTCTTATGCATAAAGTAGCAACTTGAGGCATGCTCCCACTGGGTAGCAGGTCCATAGCTTGGTGTTCCCGCTCCTTCATCAGACTGTGTCCTTTTGCTTTTCCTAGGATCTGTCCACAGTTCTTGGGCCCGGAACCTAGACAGTCTGAGTTTGGGGTTTTGAAAAAGTCACACTCACCACATATCTTGATACCTCTGGGCATTTATCTTCCATTTCCTTTGATAGAGAGTCCTCTGTTCCATAGTCACATCAGAGGGGATGAGGAAAAGTATTGTCCCATGAAAAAGAGTTCTTTTTCCTACTACTACCTCCTTTGCATTCATCTCTATTTTTTTGTGATTTTTTTTTCATTTATTTTTACAGAGAGGGGAAGGGAGGGGGAGAGGGAGAGAAACATGATGTATGAGAGATACATTGGTCGGTTGCCTCTCACATGTCCTCAACAGGGGACCTGGCCTACAACCTAGGCATGTGCCCTGACCAGGAATCTAATGAGCAATGCTTTAGTTCACAGGCCAGAACTCAATCCACTGAGCCACACCAGCCAGGGTGACTTTGTGTTTTTTAACTAGATTTTATTTACAGAAAGTCATCATTCATTCCAGTTTGTCTAATAGATTACATAATCAAGAGGTTTAAAAAGGTTAACCAAGAAATCCCACTTTCATCTGCGAAAGTTATGCTATGCTGTTAAATACAGCCGAGATTATAATGATACAGGTGTCATTAAATCTACCGGATCTTGTGACTTATTCACCAGCACAAGAAAAGGACAAAATTTGCCCTCCTGAAAAGCTGTATCACTTTATAGGGGACTAGTAGAGTTTCTGAAAGCCTCAATATTTGTGATTATGCTCTTACAAATATATTTTTATACAATCTGCCAAGTCAACTGAGAGTCAAAGGCTTGATGTTGACAGGTAAAACACATCCCGCAGAACTGTTGTTGTTTGTGATGACATTTGGAAGTTCCAAACTGCATCCCCAAAGGCTCTTCCCATTGCATTCATACAGTATACGTATGCCTACAAAAGGTATTCCCACCAGTAATATTTTAAAAAAGGTCACTTACTACTGCAAATTACATGTAGCATAGAATGTTCAAATGTTCAATTTTGAACTGTGTGTGGCAAAGCAAAATATCCCACTCTCCCAATAAAAAAGAGGGGAATAGTTTTAAAACTATTATTAATTTATGTGGTTCAGTTTTTCAAGTAAAAGACAGAAAATCCCATACAAAATTTGGGGACAGAAGAAAACTCCGATTTCAGCCACTGGTACCTTTCTAAAGACAAACAGTGTTTTTAATGCCCTGCTACCTGGAAAGCTTACATCTTGCTTTGCCAGACACATTCTAGTTGAGAATATAGCAGTTAACCAAATCATGGTGCATTAAGAATCTCGTTGCCCCTGACTGACAGCCGACATCTGGAACATTTATGATGCCTACGTGGTAATGTAGGGGCCATGGAGGAAGAAGAGGATATGGAAGCATTCCCTGTGAGAGATTATTGGGGAAAAAAAACCCTTGCTCCAACCCCCCCCCCCCCGAAAACGACCAATCATACTATTTAACTATGTTCAAAGAACAAGAGGAGAAGTAACTGAGGGTTGCAGAGAATCTAGTCAAGCTAGTCAAGGCCAAGAGCAGAGGAAGAAGCAGGCAACACAGCCCACATCACAAGTGCTTCACTTTTAAACCTCTTCCCTCTAAGGGGCCTTCTCTGCAAGCAGGACTGCTCTTCAGTTTCTGAGTCTCTTTCTTATCCAAGTTGCTCAGACTAGTTTAAGTCTTTCCCCACAGGAGCCAGTTGGAAAATACAAAGCTTTTGGAATGTGGCAGCAAAGGAAATAAGGACTGTACAGAAAGAGGGAGTTATGAGAAGCCCTCCTGGTACTGGTTTAGAGAAAAAAGTTTCCAGGCTACTGCCAGCCACTAGGTCACAAACAGCAGAACTGTTTGTCCAGACACACTTGTTCCATCACTTTTGTTACACAGGTCCTTCTGCAGCCGTTGGACGTAACGCCCTCTTCACTAAGGCTTTTGAAACGTAGTTGAAATTGCAGTGATCAGACCTCCAACACTGATAATATGTTTGTGTCTTAGCTTTGACAGAGAGGTGCACATCAAAACGATGCGGACAGTTGGACATGGCAGCACAGCCGCCACCTGGGTTAAGACAGGCATAGCACTTCCGGCAGAGGACAAACAGGGTGGACAGGAGCCCGAGCAGGCCAAGCCCTGCTTTGCTTCCCTTTGTGACCACTGAACCTGGCCTCACCCAGGATCCCACTGCCGGTGTCACCCCTTCATCTGTTTTTCTGTCACTCACAATGTTTCCTCAGAGTTCCTCTGATTTTAATTTTTTTTTAAATCGTATTTATTTATTTTTAGATAGAGGGGAAGAGAGGAAGAAAGAGAGGGAGAGAAACGTCGATGTGAGAGAGAAACATCAACCAGTTGCTTCCCTCATGCCCCCAATCCAGGGACCTGGCCCGCATCTTGGCCCACAACCCAGGCATGTGCCCTGATGGGGAATTGAACCAGCGACCTTTCAGTTTGCAGGCCAATGCTCAATCCACGAGTCATACCAGCCAGGGCCCTCTGATTTTCAATCATAGAGGAAACTCTAGTATGTTTTACTTTTTCTTCTTATTGACCATTGAGTCCTATGAACTGAACTATACAAGCTTGGGCAAAAGTAGGTTTACAGTTGTGAGTACCTGAAACGCAGAGTTTTTTCTTGTATTATTATTTATTAGTTATTGTACTATTTTCCATACAAACTACTGTAAATGTACTTTTGTCCCATCCTGTATAATTACTCTTTTATGTAACCATTTTTCTTTCTCACTGAGAAACTTGCCCATTGGCCCTCATTTTCCCTAACCGGACTGATGCACCTGAGTTCTAGTCATATTCGCCAACCTCATTCTCTCTTCACTGTAACCTAAACCACATACAATGGTCAGATTAATTTTCCTTAAATGCTGCTTTCATATTCTTATTGAAAAATTTTTCAGTGGCTACATTTGTTATAAAATAAAAAAATATTAGAAATTCTACTGACAGAACAGGACTCTTTGCTGACAGTTTTCCTTTCTTGGGGACGTATTGGGGAAGAAACTTCTCTCTTCCCCAGGAGAAGCAATTATGACCTGATTGATAAGATTGGGGTAAGTTCACTGTTTAGTTAAGACCCTTTCTATCTTCATCCTTTTCTTCACTGAGTGTTTCTTATGTTTCAGGCCCCATGTTAGGTGCTGCATGGACAAATTAACCACTTCTGTTTTACTGTTTTCTAGTGAAAGGGAGGAAACATTTTCCCCCCGTCTAAGTTGTTTTGGTTGGTCTAATACTCTAACATGAAATAGACAAATAATAAAAAATAACTAAATCTATTACATATGTACATATGGGGGTTCCGTAAGAATATGAGACCCAGAAAACTTTGGACAGTTGAGACTTGTATGCTATTCTGGACTACAGAGAGCGAAGCAGGGGTCTGAGGTTTCGAAGGGAAAGTATGCAATTCACAGGTAGATGAGAAAGAGCAAAAATTAGATGAAGAAATTCTTGCTGGCTCCTCAGAAATGCTGGGAAGTCTAACAAACAGACTTTGCTTGGTGTCTCCCTGTCTGCCACACTTAGGTCATGTTAAGATGTTAAGGTGAAAACTCCCTTTCTTTAAGCAGGTTTTTCTGAGTTCCATGAGGCAAGTAAAGGGGGAGGTTCAAAGGTCCTTTCTGAGTATTTCTGTTTCTTAAAAACAGGATATATCCGAAGGAAGCCAAAACACTAATTTGAAAGAACATAACCCCCCTATGTTCATTGCAACATTATTTACAATCACCAAGATATGGAAGCAGTCCAAGTGCCTATCAGTAGATGAGTGGATAAAACAACTATGGGACAGTTACACAGGAGAATACTACTCAGCCTTAAAACAAAAAGAAAAATTTTACCCTTTGTGGCATGTGGATGGACTTGGAGAACATTATAGCAAGTGAAATAAGCCAGTCAGAGAAAGACAAATACCATATGATTCACTCATGTGTGGAATCTCATGAACAAACTGAACTAACAAGCGAAATAGAGACAGACTCATAGATTGAGAGCAGGATGGCAGCTAAAGGGGGGGGTTGGG